GCCTAGCGAGGGCCCTTGGCGCTTATGCACGCCACCGACAACGTAGTTGAGAGGCACAAGTACAAGTAAGGAGGAGGAATAGGGCTGGCGAAGAAGCATATTTATCTGCAGTACTCAAGGATTAAGTAGCAGACATGCTGTAACGCAAGGAGTAGCTACATTTATGTGACGTAGAAACTGCGAGTGCAGCGTTGAAGTCCATTCGGGGGCAAGGAAGTCGAAAAGGGAACGGTCGTCACAAAATACCTTCACATTGCCTACGCATAGGCCATATACCTCCGGACGCAGTAGCCCAGGGCCGAAACAAACGACAAGGAAATTTCAAGCGCGAACAATATATACGCATGAAGTATCTGCGCGTTTACGGCGCTGCGCATCCGCGCTAGCCAAAAGCTCTCGCGTGCGGCACAGCGCACTAACCCTGGCTGTCACCGTGCTCAACGGCAGACTGACAGCTGCCACTGCGTCTGTTTCCAGTTACACGCAGCCGCAGCTACGTCGCGTCTATTAGCCACTTATCGGCCCACATGGGCGCTTATTTAGGCAATTAGGCTGATCGCGCCCTGGGTACTGGATGCTCTGTGGGCGCTTTTCTTGATCGCTTGCGCCAAATTTTTCAGCCGCCGTGCCGCGCAACCTGCCTGCAGCTGAAGGATACAAAAACGGCTGACGATTCCATCGCGTCTTAACTCAACTTGTGCTGGCGTCCAATCCCTGCCTCGTGTTCTGCCATCACGCCTTACTCGAGTTTGGCTTGCCCTTAATGTCGTCGTCCAGATTTACTGCGATCAATGGCCCCTCTCCTCCGCAGACGCTGAAACTAAGCGATAGTGGATCGAATCTCCGCCTATCACAAATGGGCCCTCCCTTGCAGCCTCCACGTGAGCTCAACACGTGCTTGCCGAACCCAACCAAGCGCAAGCGCTCCTCACACAATGAAGTCGAGAAGGACGACGAGGAAAAAGACGACACGACCCTCTTCGCTGCCGCCCCGAAACGTTATGCAAGTGCGTCTAGTGCCGGCGTCAATGTCGCTTACCAGCCTGTACCCTTGCTGCGGGGAGAAGTCGAGGCTGTCGGCGCATCGAGAAACGACCACCACAATGATGGGCCACAGCTCTCTGAACAGGTGGATAGGAGCAAAAGGAAGAAAACATTCAGTCCAAGGACAAAAACGGGTTGTGGGACCTGCAGGAAGCGCAAGAAAAAATGCGACGAAGCAAAGCCAACCTGCATCAATTGTTTCAAGAGCGGGTTTACATGCGCAGGCTACGCCCCACAGCCAGGCTGCGAGAATCCGGGGCCGCCTACCAGCTACGCTGAAAATCGAGGAATTCTTCCCAAACAGCTATACAGCCCCTTCTACGACGAGCCACGCGTGCAGCCCGGCCCTTTCATTGCGGCGCCCCGACTACCTCCGCTGCCGCAATTGATCCTTCTACAGCCAGCAGCAACGGCACAACCAGCATTTCAACACCAACCGCGCCATCAGCCGCCACCACTCCCGCGTGCACCATCGCTGCAGCAAGAGTCGGAGAAATTGAAGATGCTAGCGGGCAGACCCTTCAATCCGGCAGCGCCAGAACTGCGAGCCCTACGAGAGGAATGCAAGTATGCTCTGTCTAGATTCAGCCAGGCCGCAGGTGTCGGGGCAGGAATCGAGGAGCAAATGCAAAGATTCTGGGAAATTCTACGATTGCCGCCGCCATCACGGACAAGGAATCCAGAACGAGTAATGGTTGACCAGCCGTTTAACTGCGACTACGGATTCAACTTGAAGATTGGCAATGATGTCTCGATCGGGAAGGATTGCATGGTCGAGGACGCGGCTGAGGTGGTGATCGGAGACGGATGCAAATTGGGGCCCTGCGTTACTATAAGTACGATGGAATGGGGCCGGTGGACGCAAGACAGTGATGGTGAGCGCTTGGCAACTGCGAAGATGGTCAGGCTCGAGGATAATGTGGTTGTCGGAGCCGGCGCTCGGATCCTGCCTGGATCACATATCCTTAGTGGCACAGTGGTAGCGCCGGGCGAGATTGTACCGAGACGCTCGTAGATAGTCGACTGTGCGGATGCCGCGACATGAGATTTTGCCTTCGTTTTAATATGTATTCACTCACTTAAAGCCATCAGGAACTAGTATATTGTGTCTTTTTAGGAAGATCGGGACGAGTGTTTCCTATATTAGCATGGCCATATAAACTATGCTGCTCCGGACTACAGATTGCCTTTTTCTATGGTAAACTGCAAGGATGGCAATGAACAACCCTGATTTCTGTAGGGTCATTTTCTTCCCCCTCGCCAATGTAAAATACCAAGAAAACCTTAAGGCATGCCCCTTCCCCCAAAGGCAAGCTCCAAGCCAGCGGCTTCATTTGTTGTATTTCATCGTCCGTATCCCATTGCAGTCACTCTAAGAAGATCATTACCATTTTTCATACCTGCTGCTGCATCCGTAGCATGACCCACCACCAGTAGAAAAAAAAACGCAATAAAACCATCCACGTTGCCCCTTTTAGAAGACCGCGCTGTGCTTAATAGACGACAAAAACGGCATAGATGTTGATTTTAACCAATCGTAGATTACCATCGAGACTAGCCGCTCTTACAAGTTGTGCTGCAAGCTAGGCCGCACCTTTTACTACCCTTGGCAACGATACCCGGATCGTTGAACGGGCCGTCAGGCATAACACAATTACAAGGCTTCCTGTTCACCGTGTTGCATGGCTACCTTAGACATCCGGGGGCGCAAGCCTACTAGCGCTGCCTCTTCCTCATTTGCGGCAAGCACTGGCGTCCTCACCATGCGGGACGCGCATGGTACAGCCAAGTGGTGCGACAGGCCCCATCATGTATGTAGGTAGCTGGCCACAGTCACGGACCTAATAGTCCCCTCTTACGCGGCATAATTGCTCAAAAATCATGAAAAGGGGAGGCAGGGATTGTTTCAGGAGTGTGGTAGGTCAAAACGAGTTGTTTATGCCAATTCTGGTGGTATCATACCCAGGATTCCGACTTTTCCGTGAAGAATCAACTTCACACTAGCCATCGCATGCGAAATCCCTCGCAGAAATGATGGCATCCCAGGGCCCCGACCAAATAGATCCGCGCTAGCAATCGTCACGCTAAAGATTGCGGGATCAACAGATGAATGATGTGCTATCCCAGCACGTCCAAACATCTTTCCACTTATTTATGCATGTGAGCTTGGTGAGCTGTTGGCCTGCATACCCGTCAGCGCAGCCCTATGATCTTCACGCACAACAAGGACGTCAGCTTTGGAAATTCTCAAAGAAAAACAGCTAAGGAATTCGTGAGGTGGGAGCATACGCAGGATGCGAAAAGCAATGCAGAAATTAAAGGTAGGAGGCGAACGCAAGCACATTCGAGGAGGAAGCAGATCGGGATGAAGGAGTTTGGGATTGGAGCAGTCAGCACACTACGGTGCAGGGAATAACAAGGGTGTGGTGAAGATGCACCCGCTGGCTGGTAAGAGGACGTCATTTACTCGTTACATAAGCGCGTATGGGGAGCAAAAGTCGGTGAGCAAGGGAAACGGTGGTCGCGAAGCTCATCTACATTCGACACGCATATGCAGAGCGACAATAGCAATGTACCCTCAGCTGCTTGCGGGGATTAGAGCACCCATCGAGGTTTGATTGGTCGAGCAATTGGCTGAGCAACTGTCGACGTGCACATGGACTGACCCCACAATCGCTGCAGCTTCCAGCAATCAGCTGCATGCAGCGCAATACTTACACAGCGCCGACGTAATTTCACTAATAGCTGTTATTGGTAGGACGGTGAGGGTCATGTATCGCCTTCGCCAGCCGATCATGCCGACGGCATTGCAGGAGGCCCGCCCGAAGTAGCGGACACACCGCCTAGTCGGTCCTTGGTGGCCCAGGCCCACGGGGATTTTTTCTTTTTTTGCATTGAGACGATTTGGACACGACGTGCAAACTTCAAGCAAGAACAAAGCCCGTGCAACGTACTCGGACAGGTACAGTCTTTCAAGGATTTTTGAGCGCGGCAGTAGGCCTCAATGCGTTGGGTAGCACTTTCGTGCATATTTTTGGTGTTCCCCTGAGCATTACCCGACGAATGCGAATCCAATTTAGTGAGGATGCACCGTGCGTGTTGCGGAATATTTCCGCGCTCACGTCGAGGAAGACTGAGACACGAAAATGAGGAGGTGAACGAGTACGTATTGCGCTATGCGAAAGAAAGCATTAAATACCACCCTCATCAATCGCGCCTGCTGATGACGTATTAGTTCCATAAACTGATCCTTGAAGTTACGTGCGGCTGTAAGCGTATACGCGTTTCCGCCGCTACAAACAACTATACGCCTTATAAACACTGTTATGCAGAGTTAAATTGCCCCCGAAACACGACAGCAGAGCCCGCCTACTTAGCTCTCATCTGCTTGTGGCCGCTCACTCATTAGTTGAATGTATTTGGGCCAACTCACAGAGGTTATGCGGACGTCGAAGACGATTGCTTTTACGTACCGAAAGTCATCCATGTTGCTGTAGAAGTCCTGACCATGGTCATTCTAGTGGATCAAACTTTATGGCCGATGGGAGAAACTGCTTCTAGATTCTCTCAAGGACGAAGTGCAGACCTACCTCGACTGCATCACTTCAGAACTACCGCTGCCGTAGTTAGGCTGGATATCACTTGCAGGGGTAGTTAGAGTCAGCAATGATGGCATAGCATCCGAGGGTGGTGCGTCTGCCTACCTCTCTGAGGGTTTCGGCGATGGCCCTTCCTGGGGGACCCAGTAGGAGTTTGGCTGTTTTTGTCCGTACATGGTTTCTTGGAAAAGACTGTTCCGACTGTGAGGGAAGGAATAGTATTTGGCATGTGGATTGGTCGCATAAAGTTACTTAGACTAACTAAGAGCAGATGTCAGGCCGAGCAGCTGCTCGACAACTTGGTTGAGGAGCCATTCACAATCGTATCTAAATGCGCGAAGTCAAGTCCCCTTCACCTCAGATAAAAGTATACTGCTGGAGAGGGTAATCCATGAGCTGCCAAAGGCCCTTGACTTTATCAAGGACTTTGTACGCGCAATCCGTATCCTCTTCCATTTCACTCGTCTTCATCGCATCCTCAGGGTCCATTTCTCTTACTGAAGTGACTTGTTCTTCAGTAGACGCCTTCCTGTAATGCACACTTTCAAGCACCCAGCAGACGCTCATACTCCTAATCTCTGGGCGTGGCAGAACTTCCCAGTTTCCGTCGTAAAGAGTGCTTATAAGAGACGGGCCGTCGACATCGAATGCAGAAACGAGGCCTTCGACTCGGCGCTCTTCGGCCTCAGGTTGCCAGATTCCACGGGATACGACGTCCATGTACCCGACGAGGGAGTTGGTATCGATTTGGGCTGAATGGCTAGATTCTCCCAAGCTTTCCGAGAATGATGATTGGTCGACAAATAGTCGTGCCATCCAGAGACGCAACTGTCGTCGCAGAATGGTGTCTTCTGGAAATATACTTTTCTCCTCAACTATGGCTGCTTTCTTCCCCTTGGAAGTACCTGAAGTTGAACTCTTGGCCTGCGGCAGATCCGCTTTCCGTTCAATTCCTCTGTAGCCCAGTTTGCGTCTCATCATGGAAGGGGCACGGTTGTAGCGCCCAATCCAGAGGTGGCCATCTCGCATGATGCGGTCGACGAACCATATCTGACTATATGTGTCGTCGCGAGTCTTGTCCAGCTGAAGAGTGGCGAATGGATTTGCAACGATATCAGGATGGTTGAATAACACTTCCCCAACCTCGTCAGGAAGGTCTGCCCTGTTTTCATCAACTGTATCAACCCGTATCGACTGCCAAATGCTGTTTGCGAGGCCCGTAGCCCGAGGATCTATTTCCCTATTATGGTAGAGAAAACGGAGAATCGCAAAAATAACATCGGCAAGTACACGCTGCATCCGAATATTGCCTTCCACGCGATGGAAATTCACGAAGTTTGTGATAGTAAAAGCTTCGTCAGAGATACTTTCCAAACCGGGAAGATTGCTTGGCAAGACTCGAGTGCCTGTATTGAGCACGTTCTGGACTTGTTGCATGAGGAAGTCGTTCTTCGCAAATTTCTCAGTAACCAGCCGCTGTCGCCTTTGGAAATCCTCGTGGGTGTCGTCCTTCAGGTATGCAAAATTGAACTTCAGACACTTCAGGCTGTTCCATGTTTCGGCATGTTTGAGCTGAATGGGAGTGAAATCCAACCTTTCTTCAACCGTCCAAAGGTACGCCCGCAGATGCACACCGTCTGTCCTGAGCAGGTCATGGCCGTGGTTGTATCTTGAGAGACCAATGTAGCTGCCATGTCGTATCTTGCAGTGATCTAGCAGGTGTGGAGCACTGCCGAGGGGGAAAAGCCACCTCGGGATTTCCTTGCTCGAAATCGAAAGTTCGTCGACTATTAAATATTCGTTAGCACGTAGGGAAAAGATGCAAGTGGATCGTTCGATTGGTAAAGTTATCTTGAATAGAAGGCTTTGTGGATGCGCCTACCTGCATGCCCCAGTCGATACGCTTCTAGGGCTAGAATAGAGCAATCTCCGTTCAACAATGCTAGTGCAATGAATGCCATGCGCAGGGATTTGCAGTTTCTTGCCACATCAAAAGTGTTAAGTCGGGTCTCGAAACTGCACATGTTTGCAATGATCGCAACACGGTCCTGAATATCTCGACACCCACGAGTGTGGAGAAGAGTTAATGCTCCTGCTGCATCTACCGTTTGGCGTTCCCCATAGTTGTTTCCCCCAACAACTCGGGGGGGCTTTCGCTTGGGTTTTGGACTGTGTTACAACCGGGTGTAAGGTCTCTGCAACATCAAGGATGCGCTTTTCACGAGAAATTGTAGTCGAGTCCTCGCCGCCGTACCGCACAAGAACATTACCCATGGTAATAAAGTCGTGCTCTAAAAAGAACCTCGCAGCCTGGACCATGCTCTGGAAGTTTTTTATCGGTATGCAGACGATTTCAGACGGGAATTTTTCATAATTTCGTGGCGTTGGCGGGTGCGGAGTTGAAAGCAGATCGCCTGCAGATCTGCCAGGCACACGAAATTCGGACGGCCACGAGATACCGGGGCCTCGCCGGAGAGCAATCAGTAACTTCGTCCCTGCGCAGAGCGCCTCTTGAACGACCCAGGCACGCGTGTACCAGCGATCCCTACCCACCATCTCCAAGAAGTCGAGTACGTGATTGAATATCTGCTGGTTGATGACAGGTGGAGGTGTGTCGCCTACCCATCTCATGCCTCCACGCACATCCTCGGCCCGGAAATTGGTCAACATGTAGACAGCATCAAGCTGTGCTTGGTTGGTGACCTGCGTCGAGATGAGGCCACCTGTAACAGAAGCTCGGTTGTAGACTATGTCCATAGCTTGGATTCCGAGCTGTTGGTCCTCTTTACGTTCCTGGGGGCTTTTCTCATTCGGTTGTGGCAAGCACTCCTAATCGATCCAAATCATGCGAACACCACACGAAATGGCAAAGTCAACCGCTCGATCAAGAACATCGTCTAAGGCCCGGTTAAGCCTTATCTTTCCGTCAACGTCCCGCACCTGGTAAGTTCTCTCCCCCATAACTGGGTTACCCTGTTCATCTTGCTAAGGCTCCGGCCAGAAGTAGGATATCACAGCATAGTGACTGCAGACTGTAATGTCAGGGAAGGACTTTAACTAAACGACATCAGCTGGTCTGTAAAGTCGAAACTTCCGCGTCTTCCTATTCCGGAGGAATTCCGAAACCATAGAGTAGACGCCGCAAGCGTATTTCCCCGGTCGGCTATCCTCGCCTAGTACCTCTACAGTACTAGTGCTTTTATAGATTAATCTCTAAATAGATATATTAGTAACGAACTCGAGCATTTCTTCTAAGTTATCGCTATTATATTTCTAAAGCTTTAAGTCCGTACTATCGTAGATTAAGAACTTAATATCTTTATACGCCTAGATTTATATTTTATAACGGTTAATACTATATTTAAAAAGACTTATAAGCTCTTTAAAGTTATTTAATTTTAAAAAAATAAATTAAGTATTTATATTATTTTCTATAATAGACTTTAGATTATTTATTATTAGATTTTTATTTTTTTAATATTAAAATTTTTAAAAATAAAAATCTACTATTATAGTAAAACTATAGATACTAATACTAAAAATAAAAATAAATTATAATTTAAGTAGCTAAAGAGTTTAAAAGACTTTTATATAAAAAAAAAATAAAATAACGCTAAATAATTACTAATAATAAGTATTATATAGTTATTAGTTTATAATAAAATTTTTATTAATATCGCGTATAGATTTTTAAAATTAGTCTCTATTTAGCTTCTTTATAATTTTATACTAGTAACGAGGGGTTAGACGTTTAGATTAAATCTAAAATAATCGATCGTAGTAGCGAATATACTAAAATAAGCAGGTAGAAGATAAAGAATAGCGCTAATAAGGCCTAAATAGATAGAAGTAAAAGAAAGTAGATTGTTGTTGTTGTAAGCTATCTAGAAAAAGCTACTTTTATACCCGCGCTCCGTGCCTATACAAACCCAATCTGGAAGGCCAAGGCCTTGGCCAGCCGGCCTGCCTTTGCAAGCAACGAAAGAAAAAGCCAACTATCTACACGCCTTCCACCACTACACTAGCATCTAAGTCGTTTCGTTCGTGGGTAAAAGGCGCTCCAGCTCACTTAAAACCTCGCGAATGTTTTCGAGACGCGACAGCTCCACTTTGACTACGTCGTATAGGTATTTTAGAGACAACGACTCGCCAAACGAACAAGCATGGCGATTTGCTGTCACAAGAAGATTTTTAATCTCCCTCCCCTTTTAAAAGTACCGTCAATTAGTATGGATTCAGTACAAGGAGAGCATCACTTACATTGACGTTGAGTTTTCCAAGAGCTGCGAGCATCTCGGGTGTCCATGAAGATTCTTGCGTTGTTTTGGTGTTGAATTTCAAGATGTTCTTCCAAATCGCGGAGCGATCCTCATTGGTTAGGTCCGGAAGGTCGATTCTGAGATGGATACGGCTGAGGAACGCTGTGTCGAGGTTTTCCGTTAAATTCGACGTGAGGAAGAGCACACCTTCGAAGTAGTCAAGCATCCTTAGCCATACTACCCATACATTAGCTTTCGTAGCATTTGGGGACATAATAACTTAGAAATCGATCAACCTTACCAGCAACGATGGCATTTCTCTCCAAATCAGTATTACTTCGCTTTGACATGACCACATCAGCCTCATCTAAGAGGATGATGGCATTCCACCTCTTGCCCAGGTGGAATATCTTCTGTAATCCTTTTTCAACGTTTGTCACATTCACACTGAGCTCCCCTGCCGAGACGTTGTAGAGCGGACGTCCGTGGAGCTCAGAAATACTCTCTATCCGTCTTGCAATTAGCGTAGTTCGAAGCTTGTACATCTCCCCGCAGTTTCCTTACCTGCAGTTAGAGTCTTGCCAATGCCAGGATTCCTACATATTGTGTCAGTTATACGTAGATATGGGACCGAGGTTGACGTATGAGCGGACACTGACCCTCCTAAAAGCAGCACCAGCCCCTTTCCCTTGCCAGGAATAACGTCATCAAAGTCGTCGGTCTGGACGCTATGACCATGAACTAAGGATTTGATGAGAGATTTGGTGTCCGCGTCGACCTGCAGAGAGTCAAAGGCATCGGAGCTGGAACAGACTTCTTGAAGTTCATCGAGGAGCACCCAGCCCCATTCCTTGGCTTTGAGAGCGTACGCAGGGATGCGGGCTGGACAGAGTAACAGCAGGTCCTCCTCTTTTCCACCCCGCATGTCATACCTCTCGGAAACCCTATTCAAAAGTTGCGTGAAGACATCCTCATCTGAGTTTTCATCGCCTTCCTCCGGAGACGCAGTGTCGGAAGGATCCCCGGTGTCGTCATCTTCGGAGTCTGAGTCCGAATCAACTGTTTTACTCTTAGACCTCCTGATTGGGCCTTGATCCTCAAGCCTCACTACTTCGTGGACATGGTAGTCAAGGTACCCCTTGTAGTCTACTACAACCCGCTGGTTTATCTGAAGAATCCGTGAAGTTAGACAAGGAGATAATTTAGATGCCTTGGACAGCATAGTATCCTTACCTTTGACGTTGGGGCAGATGACACACCGTATATTCCCCACAGAGGTCCTTGATAATGACGGTAGGTATGGCCATCCAAGTCTTTTCTCATAATACCTTTGAACTTTTCTCCTCTCTTCTCAAGCCTTTTCCTCATGTTGTTCCAGCCACGAAAGTAGCGCACCGGCAATAGAGGTAGGTCCGAGATGTACATAGTTCCGTTGACTCTACCTTGGAACGAAATGGGGTATCGCTCCTTCGTAAGGCCGATCTTCCGCCCGTCAAAGGCGAGCCGCACTCCGCTGATGGACCAATACAAACCATCCTGGGCGATATCTCGGCAGATCCAACATTCGGGTGCTTCGCCGTCGTTCCGTATCAGAAGTTCGTTGGGTGGAAACAGCGTCCACAAGGTTTCGCAGCTGATCATGTTTTGGCCAATCAAAGACTCGTATTCTTGGTGATTTCTGACTGTCAACTTGTCGTTGCTTATGAAATCATCCAGGTGTTTGAACTCATCCCGAAGATTTTCGTAGGGTCCTGAGTCGCTCCCGTACGTCCGAATGATGTCTCTCTTGAAGAAGAGCTCGTAAAAAGGTGCCGGGATCTTGATTGGCGTACTATTGATGTCGATGCTGTCGTACGTGTTGCCAACAATTTCTCTGAAGGCGGCACAGAGAGGTTTGGATTGGATGACTAGCTCGGTGCGTCCGGCCATATCGCCTCTGGGCGTCCTGTGGACGATTCTGCGGATGCAGACGGCACAGTCGTCATATTTTTGCCTTTCCTTCTGCTGCTTCTTCTTCCTCCTCTTACTTTGCGGCCAATAGTACTCACTCGTCAACTTTATCTCCTCGTCGCCACCCATCATGTCATTCGTCTGGATGACGGTAATGTCCCTGAATCCTTTACGTGGCACATCTTGCGTGGCCTGCGTCCCTGGACCACTCTGTTGGACGTCTGTACCAACGTGATGTACATCGTTGTCGGAGGAAATCAAACCCTCCTTGTAATCCTGAACGCTCATGATAGGACGTCACTAATCTTCAGTTCAAGTTAACAAAAGACGTACAGTGAGTCGATAATCGAGCTTTGGGTGGGGGAAAATTCATACCGGCAGTTGAGGCAGTAGAGAAAAGTGTGGAAATGTCTTCTTCGACTTTCACATCTGTAGGCGTTTGCTCTTCTTATATCATACATTGACCTCTCCAAAAAGTCTACAGCCGTGTGAGACACAGAAGATCGGCCTTGCTCAACCGTCCTATGCGTTGCTCTCTGCCAAGCTCTGCCTAAGTCTGCCTTGCTATGCTGCCTTCTGTCCAGCATGGCTTAGCGTGGCTTAGCGTGGCTTAGCACTGCGCGACGTGGCAGGCGTCGACATACACTGAGATGTTGTCTCGCCAATCGATGAAAGATCAGCGAGGTGGCGGTGAAGGTGGCTAGCTGACCCACCTGCAAAGCCTCGAACACGTCAGAGCTGGAACGTCTTTTTTGACAGCCAAGAAATCGCGTTCACATGCCTCGGAGCCTTCTCCGACATCTGTCATACTCTTCCTGCAGCATTATAGGGCGATATGCTACTTTATCGCAAAAGTTTTTATCACTTGGTGTGTCGATCACCAAACACACATTGCCACACATATATTGATTGCGCCTTGTCAGCCACACAAATGTTGATCACTGCGCCTCAGAGTTTTTTTTTTTGCGGTGTCAAGCCAAGACGACTGCAGCCTATTCAGGTGCACGCACTCTCTGGTAGCGCTCAACACCAATGCATGCATGTCATCGAAGAGGCTGAGCCCGCATCTGCCTGGTGCTCTCCACTTTGACTGATTTTGTACGGGCCTTGGCGCCCGCAAATTTGCTAGAAATATCTGCCCCCCGATCATTCTTCGGGATAGATTATTAGAGTTCTAACTCAACACTTCTCGCCACTTTGAACACCACATCTAGCCTTTTCAAACAAGTTTCTTCCGAAAAGTCAGGCGTTGACGACTACCATGAGTCCACCAATCAAACTCCGTCGGCAACGCTCTCGAAAGCAAAACTGGAAGCAACATGTCGATTCCACATCACCCAGCAATATTTCGACTCAAAGGAACTCGATCAACATCTCGGAATCCGAGCTTTTCAAATTGGTCTGCAGCTACGAGGGCTTTTCAAGCTCCATAGCGCCAGACATCACGGTGCGAGAGGGCTTGCACAATCTGGAAGACGTGACTGCCTACGGGGTGTCCGAAGAAAAACAAAAGGAGCTCTGGAAAATGGAGATTGCGAGACTTTCGTCGTCACTTCAAATTCCAGATGGGTCAGCCTCGTTTGAGGGAACCAACGAACTCGATCAGGACACCAAGGACGCGTACGAGATCTTGGCTCACCTCGCCGACCAAATGTGGATCGCCCTCAACATCGCCGTGCTCGACTGTCAGTCATTACTTTGCAGCCATTTCCCGGCTTTCGCCGAAGAAAGCCAACTCCGCAGGAGTCAAGGGATTCTTGAACAATTCACAGAGGATGATGATAGTGATGAGGAAGAGGAGTCCCCGCAGGCAAATGATCCAAAGGACACACCCAGGGGTAGCCGCGAAGACTACTTCAAGCTGGTCGACTACATCACCGCAACTATGGCCAGGACACTCTGCACAGCTGCCAGTGGGGAGGAATGGCATTACAACATTTTGTCCACCCTTGTCAAGCTATCCACTAAGCTTAAAGTTGTGTCCTTCCATCTGGAAGATTCAGCATCCAGCGCGCTGGAGAGCAGCAGGACAAAAAAGCCTATTCGTCCGGTACCAGGGCCAGCCGGAGGTCGTGGTGCAGCTGCCGGGATAAGCATGGGACGAAACGGGGGAGGGGACTCTCTGGACCTTCTGGGGGCGATGCTCGACAGCGCGCTTCAGCAAGAAAGCGGAGGAGATGATAAGCCCTATTCAGGCCCGAACACGCGACAGAGAGCAGTGAAGCACATGTACTGGATGCAGACGGTTAAGTTTGGACTTCCTGCCTACGAAATCTTCCGGTACATCCTGGTGTCTCTACGCGGCCGGCAAAAGCTGATTACCACGTCCACAACATCATACGAGATATGTGCCATGGTCTACGATACCAACTTTCAACAATTTTCGACACTGGTATACCAAGACATTGATGGGGAGTATCTTGGTTCTTCGAGGCCGGAGAATATTCAGATGGCGAATTCCGTCTTCGAGGTGCTCAGTTCAACCATGAGAAAGCTGGAAAGGTCACGCCAGCAGCAACAAACCCAACAAGACGGGCCAAATCCTGGTGGTGGAAATTCGAGTCCATCGTCGACTACGACCGTACCCGCATCAGGGACTTCAAACGAAGGCGCCGAAGCCAACACCAATGATGCGCCGGTTGCAACAGAAACTCATCAAAGGACGCAATCCAACATCGTTGGGACGACAGTTTCATGGTCTTACGCCCAAGCCGACTCGAGTAAAGCCAGAACCTCGACATCCGACCCGTGTGTGGATGGGAAGCAGACCATCCGGCTCCAATCTATGAGCGAGGTTATCACGGTGATGATACCGCTCCTTTTGGCAAGCCCAAAGGTTATCTACATGATGACCGAGTTTATCGGACTTTGTGTGTACACCTCGGTGTCTGAAGAAATTACACTCCACCCGACCACCAAATACAAGGCCATCTTTTGCATGAGTACCGAAGAGTACCGCAAATACTGGGATGAAAAGCCCCGTTCAACAGTCTCCCAGCTCTCAGAATCGCTGATAGCCAGAGATGCAGTGGTATCGCGTAACGATGACGGGTCAAATGGAATCGACACTTTCGAAGCAGAGCACTTCCACAAGTACCAACAAGACTTGCACGCTGTTACGAATGCAATGAATGATTGGATATTCGAGGAGAATGGGGTGAGGGTCCGCTGCAGGTGGTATGTCTGGACAGTGCTCAGCATAGCGTCGATGCTTGTCCTCGGCGGCATCGCAAGCGGACTCACAATTCAAGATCGACTGAAGGGCGTGGATCCTTTTAACATCACCACCTTCTGCTGGGTTGTGGCGGCCTTTGTTATTGTCATTGCTAAAAGCCTTCGTGTGGCCAATTGGGCGTGGCGAGACTTTCTACGCTGCAATGTGCTCTGTCGGAGCGTCTCGGAGCTTCATTCGGTGACGGGGATAGACGAGCAGCTAATCCTAGGAAGGCTACTACAAGATGAGTCGGCAACTCGACTGCAGACGAGAGGCCCCTACAACTGCGTCTTTACCCGTCAAACGAGCAGCGCCGACGGCTTCTCCATCGACCATCCTATGAGTATCGCGACCATGCTGCTTAGTGGCTTGATTATGATTCAAGTCCAGGCCATCTACCGCGGAGATTTTCTCGTTTGTCTGGATTTGCGCAAAGGAACCAAGTACCACCTCGTTCTTCAGAGCAGAAATCCAACAGACAAGGAAGAATACATCTCCAGCGATAGACTCGCTGTCGATAATCCCCAACAGACCAGTCGTCAACGGGTTCTTTTGCAAAAGGGAGGCGACACCCGATGGAATCGAGTAATCGGAGTATACGGTGGGCGAGACTGCTTCTTTACTTGACCTTTATTCCCACATGGTTACAGAGAGGAGGTAAACTACTACGCCACTAAAGTGTACCTCGTCATCAAACCTAACCTTAAGGATAGGGGGTTTTTCAAATTGCTTTTTAAGTGGCAACTATCAAAGTTACGTGTTTATACTTCTCTTTTATTCCTATAGTTAACTTAATACCAACTCTTTAATACAGTCCTTCCTCCTTTCTATATTTAAAAAAGCCAAGGATCCCGCACGGGAATTCCAGGAACGTTCAGGTGTTACGGCATAGCCAGCAGCAGTAGGAAAGTCAGAATCTTATACGACTTACCGCCCACGTAACAAGTGCGCTAACCCTGCCTAACCCTCACAACCGAACCCGAGCCCACCGGCCCGACCCACTAAACCCCTTCAGGAACCCTGATCACTCCGATCACCTTAATCACCCAGAATGACTACCACTAATCACACTAATCACCCCTAACCGAGAGGATCAATTGGAGTCTACTTGACTCCAATAAAGTTTTGCTGGGGGACCGTGCGCGGCAAATGTAGACTCCAATAAATTTTCGAGCAGGTAGTTTTACTGCTGCATCTGCTTTTCAGCAGTGTTCAACTCAATCCATTTGCACCGTTCAACAGCCGTCAATGCGGTCGGTCTGTGTCTCGGCGATGGTAATAGTGTCGCAGTAACACGGATTGAATCATGTGGGTCTTGCCATGCCGGGATCGCCACAATTGAATCGCCCTATCGTCCGGCGGCTTTCTGTCGATTGTCAGCGCAATTGGTATCACTACCGAAGGGGAAATGATGAACGTCAATGCGGATCACGCCGCAACTGTATTAGTCACCCTGTTGGCAAGTGATCTAATTTTGTTGCCAGATTTCAGCAGTATTCTTAATAACAAAGGTCAGCGTGTTGGAGAAATCACAACAGCAAAAGCGCTGAAATCTGGGGCCTCTACATGCCATGTGGTGGATTTGCGCGAAACGTTTATTCGTGATTATGTTTGTACGGTACTACAAACCGGTGCCTTGCATAAAGGAATTTATTTGGGTGGTACGTCAATTTATCGCCAAAGCAGAGGCTGAGTTGGCGCCCGATATTGGTGCGGATGCCTTGTGCTACGGGCTTACGCTTGCACCGCTGGGCAGGGTGACGGCAGGCAATTTGCAGGCCGTTTGCGCCGCGCTGGATGTTTCTCGTTCACCAAAGATCGGAGTTTTAGACGACGTCCTCTAAGAAACAAAACAATGTAAGAGAAAAATTTGAAACGGGTGGCCCATGCGACATGATTCTTTGTCTAGAGGCCAACAACTTGGCAATTACTTAGTTTATTTGTCTGACTTAGCCCTTTGTTATTGAGACGGCAATCATAGTTCTTTTTCTTAATTAGATCTAGCTTGGCCTCTTGAACAGTACTATATTACGACTACTAGCAGTATCTCCTCATCGACATCCTTTCGTATTCTTCAATTCGCTTTCTATACCGCTCGGTCCTTGCTACTACCGTTATAATTTCCGATATAGATGTCACCAGCCGTCTGGTTAGGGGCTCCGGCCCCGCTCAACTTTTGTCCAGAGACAGGTTTCCATGTTGCTGGTAATCAGACTGATTAACCTCCACTATGGCAGCCTGTCTACGCCCACCAGGGCTCGCAACTCAACCTCAATCTAACACCCTCGCTCGACCCTCGATTCCCACCCTCCGAATAACACTGAATTCTATATAACACCATTGTTAAGGGAGAACAACTCCTCTGTTCGAAAACAATCACCGAGTCACCATGTATATAATCAGCACCGAGTTATGCTCCTTCTCCTCGACACCGACACCCACGACACATCCACTGCACACCGACATCCCCCACTCTCCATACCCACCCAATCAAGCACAACCCGATACACCAACAGCACCCGACACCAACCAGACCAATGGCTCTCTCTCTCGGAAACGGCCACGGTTCAGGATCCCAGTCTCCAAGCCCCGGAGCACTGACGATATTCGGCGACGCCGACGACGAGAGGCGCCAATGCAACGGCATCTGCCGCGACGGCAACCAGTGCCGCAGAACCGTCGCAAAGGAGGCGTGGAGGCTCCACAACGTGCGCTTTTGCAACGAGCACGCATATCAAGCCACGGACACCGCCACCAGGGCCGCAGCCGCGAACAGGCAGCTCCGCGCCGAGAACCAGCGGCTGCGCACCAGGAACCAGCAGCGGCGCACCGACAACCGGCAGCTAAGTACCGAGAACCAGCAGCTAAGCACCGAGAACCAGCAGCTACACGCAGCCGTCGACGACGTCACGCAGGCCAACGACGACTTGGCCCAGACGAACCAGGACCTCGGGGCCAGAGCCGCGGCGGCGGAAGACACGGTAGCGAGCCTTGACGAAGCGAATCGCCATCTCGAAGCCAGGCTCGCTGCAGCAGACGACGCCACGACCAGCATCCGCAGCGAGCGCGACCAGCTCCGCCAAAGCCGTGACGAAGCGACGCGCCATCTCGAAGCCAGGCTCGCCGCGGCAGACGCCACCGCGACCGCGATCCGCAGCGAGCGCGACCAGCTCCGCAGCGAGCGCGACCAGCTCCGCCGCAGCCGCGACGCCGAGGCCCAGGCCAGCAGGGACCTCCTGGCCAGCAGGCTTGCCGCCGCCGAAAGCAACGCCGCGGCGACGCTGAGCAGCGAGCGCGAGCGCCTCGAGCAGAGCCATCGCGAGGAGCGTGCTCGGCTGGCGGCGGTCAAAGCCGGCCTGGAGGAGCGGCTCGAGGCTTCCGAGGCCGCGAACGCGGCACTGGCGAGGGAGAAGGCCGAGGGCGACAGGGCGAGGGAAGAGCTGGAGGCCGAGGTGGGTAAGCTTCGCGGCGAGCAGGAGCGCTCTGCTCGTGACCTTCAGGATGCCACCAACCGGGCTGGTGAGGCGGAGAAGAGGCATGAGGTTGCCGAGGGCGAGTTGAGTGATTCGCGAGCGACCAACGCATCACTCACCAGCGAGCTCAAGGCCGCCCAGAACACCGCCGAGGCCCTGGAGGAAAAGCTAAGCCAAGCCGATTCCAACAACGAAGCGCTTAATGCCAAGTTCAAGACTGCCCAGGAAAACACCAAGGCCTTGGAGACAAAGCTTAGTCAAGCTGTTGCCGACAACGAGACGCTTACTGGCAAGGTCGAGACAGCCCAGGAAAGAGCCGATGCCCTTGAAGAGCAGCTAGGCGAAGCCAAGGCCGACAAGCAGACGCTTACTGCCAAGGTCGAGAAAGCCCAGGAAAGAGCTGATGCCTTGGAAGAGCAGCTGGGTCAGGCTAAGGCTGACAACGACCGCCTCAGCATCCGGGTTAGCGACAGCGAGGGCCAGCTGAGGGATTCTCACGACCATGCCGAGGCCCTAAGGGCACAACTCAGCCGCGTCAAGGCCGACAACAACCGCCTTAGCACCCAGGTCAGCGACTGCAAGGGCCAGCTGAGGGATTCTCACGACCATGCCGAAGCTCTAAGGGCAGAAATCAGCCGCGCCAAGGCCGACAACGACTGCCTCCGCAACCGGGTCAGCGATAGCGAGGGCCAACTGAGGGATTCTCGCAACGACGTCGAGGCCCTGAGGGCAGGGCTGAGCCGCGTCAACGCCGACAACGACCGGCTCAACAATCGGCTCAGCGATGCCGAGGCCGAGCTAACAAGCACTCGCGAGGATAATGCCACTCTTGCCGCGGAGCTCGAGGATAGCGAGGACATCCGCGAGGCTCTAGAGGCTGAGGTTATCCGCCTGACCATTAGGGTGAGCAACGCCAGGGGGGACCAGAGGAGCACGCGCCGGACGATAATGCCCGCCGAGGTCCAGGACAGCGACGACGACCTACTGGACGAGGTTTGCCGAATGGCCATGTAATCGAGTGACTCCGAGAGTGATTGGTTGCGAGAGAGACGGGCGTTGACTTTTAGATTCCAAGTAGTCAAATACATATTCATTCTTAATATTGTGACCAAGTGACAACGAAGCTAACATCAGGGGTCCCACTCGATAAGTCTTCGGGTATTGATGTGACGCTGGTAATGAAATGGGAATGAATAAGGATGCGTTGATGTAATCAAGGCGAATTACCAAATCTTATATAGGAACGCTAAGTATTTTCTAACGCTCCGAAGCTCAGCGAAACCTTGTTTCCCCTTCCGAATTATATACTTCGGTTACGTCATATTCTTGATATTGTCATAGAGGGGTCCGAACGTCATCGAATTGGGATCATATATCCCACCATGAGTCTCGTGGTCCCTGACCAATTGCAGCACTGCCGTGAGAGTTTGTGGATCTCTGCCAAATTGCTTGCTGGCCTTTCTCTCGTAAGTTGCTTTACAATAGGTGAACCAGTCTTTCATCTTTTCCTCAGCGGCCTTGAGATGCTCCGACATAAACTCATCGATCGCCGCTGTCCAGCTGTTCTGGGCGTCATGGGGGAGCAAAATACCAGCGAGCTGGGGAGGCCATTGGTTGAGGTCTGGATCTGCGTCAAGTTCTTCGCTAATATGAGGAGAGCCGTTAGTTAGCTTCTAGAGAAGAGATTACCGCTCTCATCTTCATTGAGCTTAGCAAAGGAGTGTCTTACAGGATTCCCCGCATCCGATTGAAGACTTGTTGAAATGCGCTGTAAACAGCTGGTTCTCGCATGTAGCGAAAGGCAAGACTGGCGTACTGCATCCTGTCGCTCATATGTACAAGCGTCTGGGTGTCGCGGCATGATGGAAGCAAAGAACCTTCGTCATTAACGAACCACGTATTCTCGGCCTCGCGGTGTCCGTGGAGAATCTACAAGCCAAGGTTAGCATAAGAGCAACATTCTGCAGCGTAACTTACAAGGGCTTTCATTCTGTTGATGTTCTCATCAAGCATGAAAAACTCTTGCACACGGGTGTTATCTGGGCAGTTGCGAACAGGCATTTCCCAGCATGAGAAGGCTTTCCCGAGCCGTGTAGCCGCTGATTCGTGCTGAAACCGAGAACCGGCCTTTCCCGTTGGATTCTGGAACACACGGCGAAGTTGCTCACAGGTGGCTATAGGGTCTACTGGGGGATTGAAGAAGTGTAGAAATCCCCGATTCCCTCTGAGCGAATAGAAAAAACGCTTTAAGATTTGTTTCTCAAAGGCGAGCTCCGCTGTAGAAAAAGGGAGTCCGGTAGCTGCATACAGCCGCTCCACGTTGGAAAAACTCACCATTAAAGCGCACGCCACGGCTGCCATTAGCTTCAAAACGTCCGCGGCTCCCATCCGCACTGAACCGTCGAAGTGTTGGATTGTAACAATGCTTCGACTTTTCGTAATAGGTCCACACCCAAGGCCGATTGTCTTGGTCCAACACGTTGAGGGCTTCATTTCCAGCGCTCGGATAGCCGGGGACCAAGTACGTGATGTCGCATACAGTGCTATATTTCGTTGAGTCACCTCGGTGCTGCAGAAGCGTTCGCGGTCGGACGCGCCCCCATGTACCCTCGAAGTAGTTGTCCCAACACCAGTCATCCCCACGTGTCTTTGCAGTCGCTGCACTGCCTTTCCGCCGGCGCCGGCGGTGGTGGTGGTGGTGGTGTTGAGTCCGTCGTGCAGTGCTGCTTGCACCAATCGGTGGGCTCGCCCTGGTTCATCGCGCACGAGTGGCACATTCTCCCAGGAGTGATTTCCTCGGTAGGAGCCGGAGCGCTGATAGACGGGGACGTGGTGATTGTTGCGAAGAATGTAACTTCAGGCAACCAAGAGTCCTGCAGGTCATCATCCTCGGGGTTTTCGGGGTTAGATCAGACGGTTCACATCCTCGTAGGCTGAGCACGCCGTGCACTCGCTCGATGAAGCGCTGCTGTCCAACGTGCTGGCCGCGCTTGGTGGCGGCGGGGGTCATGGTCGGCACGGGGCCTCACAACTTGTGGTTCGCCGTTAGGGTCGATTGTAAGCGGAGGAAAGCCTGGCGGAGGTGGAAGGATTCCGCCAGGAATCATCTCCACGGTCGGAATCACCATGATGCCGATATCGGGCCCCACGTACCATATGGGAAGCACAGTGACATGGCCATCGACGGAGGTGGTGGTTGCTGAGTTCGCCGTTAGGCTGGAAATCTGCACAGTGGTGGTCAGGGCTCTGTCTTGGCAAGACGTGGACAAAACAAGATGCCACCCACGGTCGTCTTGCAAGACAAGCCGGCTAAGGAGGGTCATCTTAAATGGCTTAGCTTGATTTGTCTTATCTTGGCGTCTTAGCAAGTCGTTTTGGTGTTTTGGTTCGTAATTCTTATGGTATAATTTCCTAGTAAAATACGTTTAGAAATAGGGCTAAGCTCTTTTCTTTATTAATAGCTAAGCTAGAGAATACGTAATATATACACGTAACGTATTATTAATTCTTTTTTCTATCTATCTATTAGTTAGATTATATATTACTAATATAACCGTTTTAAACTATCTTAGTTTAAGATCTCTAAAATAAGACGGTTTTTACTAAAATGCTAGAGGCCGATCGTCTTGTAAGATAAGACGCCAGCGGAGAACCGTCTTATAAGACGGTTTTGTCTTGTTTGGCAAAACGTCTTGATAATGCAGAGCCCTGGTGGTGGTAAAAGGTAATCCTGGCGGGATTGTCGTCTGCAACCCTGGTGTGATTGATATGGTGAAAATGCTCGTAGGCAGTTTTGAAGACCGAGAAAGAACGGACGGAGAGGCGTTGATCATGTATAGAGTGGATAGGGCTTCGGTCAGTAGAGGCATATCAGGTGACGCCGTGGGCGAGCCGCAGGTTTTACTTTGCTAGATCTAGTTTGAAAGCCAAGGAACAGCGTGTCTCTCATTGATTTTATGTGGCCTTGTTTGAGTATTCCACCGGATACACAAAAAGCAGCGCCGCAAACATTTTCAATCATCCCAGTTGGCAGTCTGGTGCTGGGCTCACGTGGAGCCTACTCTGGTTTCCAGATATTTCTTCTGTTAACTATCCCATTAGGACTACGCGGGATATTTTGAAGACCCTTCGGGCTCTTTCCATTTTCATTTGCCTCGACAAAGATGACATACTCTGGGAGGCCATGCATTGCTTGCTGTTTCATCGCCTGCAAGATGATCTTGCTGGTGATTAAACTTGTTCGATGATAGCCATCGTAGTGAACGTACGTGGTGAGGACCGTCGTACTTGCGCCCTTCTAATTTGCATTAGTAATATGTACAACTGGCGTTCGTTGGTGACCATACTTTTCGAAGGACATTCTCTTGAATTTGGAGGTTAAGCCAATTCGTGACGTTCACCTCAAAGTACCCTTGACAATCGATACGGTAACCGTATTTAGGGGACGAGATTAAGGTTTCGCCTCTTTGCGCCGGGAGTGTGAACACTTCCTTTGCCTTGGACTCCTCCCAAAGCTCAATAATCCATTCTGTTACGGTACTCTGTTGGCTACGAGGGTACTCGTTGCCACTTTTGTTTCGGTTGATGAGATTGCTGGTTTCGCGGACTGACATGAGGGTCAGAGAGCATGGAAAACGTGTAAAGAAAAAAACTAAAGTTCCAAGTATGGCTATCTAATAAAGTGAGAGCGTAGGCGTTATAAGTGCACGCTTACCCCGCTTCTATGACATACGTTTACGGATTCAGCGCTACAGCCTTGCGCTTCGTACTACCAAACGCCTTGAGACCTATTAAATGCCGTCCGACCCAAGCTCCATTCACTAGCGCTTATGTTTGGAATCTAGAAACTGCTTGCCAAGCGTGGTCTAGAACAATCCGACCCAGAATGCGTGGTAACAGTAGTGGGTGGACGCTCGCATGAACGCACGTGTTCAGTCCCGCCGCGGTACATGCAGGTGTGCAGCAGGCAGAAAAGGTTGGCTACGTGGCTGTCGCCTGTTATTTGCCGCTGCGAGACCTCGGATGGCGGGAAGTAGTAGCCAGTCGTGGCTGAGACAATCAATGCAGCTCCGACCGGAAATGTTCATCAGCAATGCTACACGACACCGCCGATATCCCTTGCGGCATTGCATCTGGTGCAAGCCTCGTGTAATGCCCTTTTTGCTTCTGTTATCCTTCCGGAACCGTAATTGGAGCTTTTTTAAGATAAAGAGAGTACTATTATTTAATTTTGTTAAAGTTCTATAGCGCTTGAAAGATGGTGAATTTTGGTGGGAGGGTCGCTTTTGGGTCTATGGTGTCGCAACTGGGGTTTTCGGCACAAATACGGGTCGCTTTTAGTAATTGCCCCCCCCTTTTTTTTTGTCGAGGGTTAATGGAAATTTGCAGGTCTCAGAGGGACAGGAATAGCACTGATTGCGGGCCACTCCGATATGCAAAGGTGCGTCGATGGTCGTGGTCCTGCTTCCTTTTTGCCTCGCAGCACGCAGCCTGAAGCATGCCAGTCGAGGCGACGTGCCGACAGCCTTGTCTTCTAGGCGGGGTTGATCTGATAATCAGTTTCATAAGACGTGGCATCAGCTGAATGGCACGACGGCTCCCCGCAAGTAATCGAGCGAATCAAGCCTACGATCCCTGTAGTGTAACGACCAGTAACCGGTTGTCGGCCAGGAAGGCCCATAAGGAGACGTTCACAGTAACGCCACCGTTGAAGAAGTCGCCGCTGGCCAGTGTTAGCGGCGGGCGGTCAAGCGTAACCACTATTCCTTGGATCGAGAAATCACTTTGCAGAGTCTGGCCACCGAGGTCCACATCAAAGCTGAAGCCTGCACGGCTGGGGCGATGGGCCACGTGCACCTCAGCATCGTCATAATTAATTTTGTTGCAGTGATGTATTCCTCGTTCTTCATGTTTCCCTTCTCCGCGACCGCCTCTTATCGAATTTGTTCTTGATTACAGTTGTGAGTAAACATTTAAAACTAGGCGTAAGGATACTTATCAAGATATAACTTTTAAGCACGTGGCGAAGGTGAGCGAATTCAATCGGTGCCTGTCGGCAGGAGCGGGGTAGCAGAGATATTTGGGGGGCCATAAATTTTATTGCCATTATTGGTCTCCTTGTGTGTTACATTACAGCGGCTCGGCATAAGCTGATCAGTTTCGTGTCGTAGCCTTGCGAACAACCACTAAACAAAACGACCAATTTCCACGGCTATGAAATCAAGTTCAAGGCGGTCCACACAATGACGGATCCGCTCTTAATAGCAAGTAGCGTCGGCAGCCTCTCCGCTTTAGCCTAAGACATCGTGCTAACAATGTACACCTTCATACGACCGCCAGGGGTGCTGAGGACGAGGTCGAACGTTTGCTTACAGATGCGAGATTGGCGGAATGACCAAAGCAATGGTCAAAAGAAGGATCGGCATCGGCACTCCGATGGGGACAAGGTTGACCCGCAATTGTTGATCGCGGCGAACAGTACGATACGGTCATTGATCTGGAAGTTGACCCGCTTTCTACTGGAGTTGCTGGGCCGAGAAATGTCTACTCGCGCGCATGCTAACCAGCTCCGAGACTCCATGCGGCGAGTTGTTTTACTACGTATATCTTGCAGCTTGACGCCATTGACACGCGTGCGGCGCAGCAGCATATTATTTAGCCTTGTTGAAACGCTTTCTACGAGATCTACAAAAGGTCTCGGGCTTTTTCAAGAGTGGGCGGACAGAGCCGATTGGCCTAAAATAGCGCCCGCGCTCGCGTGACGGGCCGCAAAGAAGCGGGCCGTCGGCCGAACCGAGATGCTCCGGCCTATCAGCGTACTCAACGGGCCGCATCCCTGCCCGCGTCGGCATCCGGAGTGCATGGGGTAGCGAGGGGCTAGAACGTCTTTCGCAAGACAACGCCATGGCCATACCTAAACGTGACCTTCTCGTCCAGCTCGCCGCTCTCGCCCGCCCTTTTCACCCGCCCCTCAACCATGGCCTCGCGCAAGCGGCCGCGCGCAGAGCATCAGCCCAAGTCCTCTCCGCAGCACGCCGCCGCCAGAAGCCGTGGCAAGCAGGAGAAGCCCGCCGGTCCGTCGTATCCCCTGGATAGCCCGGAGCAAAAACCGAGGCAAACGCGCTGACCGCCTCTCCAGAGCCATCAGCATCGGACCCCGCGCCGCCAAGACGGAGCTCCCGGATTAAAGCGCGACAAGTTAGTGTGCCAGCTCTCCGATAACGATCCAACCTTTGTATCTCACGTGTCGGAAAAAGCTACAGCAACCTGCAGGGCCGAAGGACCTTACAGAGCCCGCGCATCTTGCCAACACACCAGCATCGACTCTGAAATCGAGAGCAGCGGCCAAATCCAGGCCAGCCCCTAGACCCAAGAAGGGACCGCGAAAACAGGAGCCCCTGCAAGCCGGAAGAGGTCAACGGCTTCCGGATTACTCCGCCAACCAGCCGAGCCAGTCTGCACCTGCCGAACCGCGCCAGCGCAATCTTCCGCGTCCAGACGGTACTGTTGCGCAGTTTCCCGCTCGGACAACCCCTCTCGAGCGCGAGACCGAAAGCTGGGTGCAGTCCGTTCAGAGGCTGGCAAAACAGGGCGCCATGGCTCCACCTGCAGCCAACTCCGCCCAAAGGCAGTCCAAGCCAAAGGCTAAGGCGGCACCTAATCGCGACCATCAGCGCGTTGCGAGCACCTCCGAAGCTGCTTCGGAGAATGACCAACTCACCGACGCCTCTAACAACACCAGTAAGACGGGCACCGCTAGCAGAACGCCAGCCTTGTACAAATCGAAGAAATGCCGCGAGAAGCTGAGGAACGTAAATGGATTTGTGCATATGTACTTGCATGAGCGAGACCTATTCTCTAACAGGAGGGGTCCCTACCACGGGCTGAATGAGGAGAGCGAGAGGTGGATACGAGACCTGAAGGGCTACACTCCAGAGACCGCAAGGAACGACCTGTTCGAATCGATGCCCCTCAGATTACTACTGCGGCGCATCGACGAAAAAAGCGAGCCCGGCATTATGCAAAACTTGCAAGACCTTGTGTGTCCGGTGGTGGCAAAACTGGCGGCTCTACATTTCAACGACGACAGGTTAGGGGCCACGTACGATCTCTTAGACGACCTTTGGGAGGAGCAGTGGATCAAGCTGCCGACAGTGCTTCCGGGCTTTAGAGGACCAAAGCCCGACTACTGCGTGGGGTTCGCACTGTCTGCCTTCACTGAGGATCGGAAAAACAAGATCGACATCATCGCCAGCGAGAACAAGGCTCTCAGGCCAACGGACCTCGTGTACTTCCCATTCCTCACTTGCGAGGCCAAATCGTGGCAACAAAGCATCGACTTCGCCGAGAATCAGAACGGCCACAACATCTTCGTCGCCGTGCTGGCCATGGTCGAGCTCTTCCGCATGGCCAACATGGACGTCAGCGGCCAGATTCTGGCCTTCTCCATCTCTTTCAACCACAGCTTGGTGTACATGCACGCGTACTACCCCATCATCAACGGGGAGAAGACGAACATTTGTCGCCACTCGCTGGGAACGTTCCTCCTCTCTCCCGGCGAGAACCCGGACTCGTGGCGCTCCTGGCGCCTGGTTAGGAACGTGTACGAGATGTGGGCCCCAGACCTTTATAATCGTCTGTGTGAGGCGATTGACGCGGTGAAGCTCGACGAGGGAGCGGCAGCTCCGGACCCAACGCCGTCAGAGTCGGTGGTTCCGATGGATATGCAGTCTGATACGACGCCGAGGCCGGATGACATGAACACGGATGGCCGTGGTGGTGATCGAGCCGCCCCGAGAGAGTCTGGACAGCAGCCCTCCCCGAAGAGGGCGAGAATAAGATAGTATCCGATTCTCGCGTTGCGGCGCGAGAAGAGGCGGCTGAATTAAATGACGAAACAATCCCACTACACCTTGCTCGAGACCAAGAAACAGCTTTTCTTCTATGCAAACACGGTGCAGGCCCTATGGTTACGTCGAATGCTAGAGGCATGCCGCTAAACATTCATCAAATTTCAGGATAACATCCATGCTCATCGAGCCAACCGAGCCACAGACTCATAAGTGCCCTCCATTTCCGTTCGCCGCGGACGAATATTCAAAAGCCGTGGAGCTTTTCGTACTTGAAGGTGCGGATCCGAACATAAACGGCGGTGAACTGGGCTCGGCTATCCAGGCTGCCCAGAAGCAAGGCCGCTTCCTCGTTTTGGACGTGTTGCAGCGCCACAGGGCGCGTCCCTGCATCATGACAGCAAGCAATGGACAGGAGCGGCCTGCCTGGTTCTGGGGCAGGGTGTTGAACCCGGTGCGCAGCTGCAAGTTGCTGCACATCGTGGCCTGGTATAAGGGTACCGGCATGTTTCTTTAAAGCTTCAATGGTAGAAATGGCTTCTTGCATCGCTCGGCCTCTGCTTGGAAATTTTGGTTGTTTGATTGGCTATCTGAGATGCTCGTGCAAAAGGGACGTTTTAATAGCTTCCTACAGTTTCCTCCCACACTTTCTATGCTTGATGATCTCTCATAGAACTGCCTGACTGCACTAGAAACTCACGTTTGTACCGCCTCTGCCCATCGTCGATCACCCGTCATCCTAGTAACGATAATGCCCTGCCGCCACTTCTATCATAAGTATTCGGTGCACTAGAAAAGAACCATCTGCTCGGAATTCTCGAGGCCAGGGGACGACGAGGAGATGAAGATGACGGTGAGCCTACGCTCCTCGTTCAAACCTGCCTCGATCTCCCCATCTTTAACGTCCTCCACTGTGCGCCCATCGCTCCCCGACGCCAGATCGCTGGAGTCTGGGCCAGAGTCATCCTTCTCGCCCTCCTTATCCCCCATAGGCTCCTCAAGTTGTTCCTGACTCTCTTCTGAACCTATTTCCGCCTCCGGCTCCGATACCTGAGTCCCTCTTAGCCGTCCAATTGCGTGGACCTTCCGCATTCCTGTGGCAACTTGTGCCAGGATGATAGAAATTTCACCCATGCTATCCGCACCCAGACTTTCCAATGGCTGATCCCAATGACGTCGTCCAAAATGGTGCTTGACAACTTCAACGATCCGGTGCAGCAGATCAGCGATGCGCCAACGGACCTACAGCTAAACGGCTACTACGGCGATAAGCTCGCGCTGGTGGACTAGGTGTCCGTCCCCGTGCTCTTCATCAGCGCTGTCGAAGACATGCGGCAGGTGGAGGAGGTGGCATAAAAGACCGATGAGGGGGAGGAGAAGACACTGATCCCCGCTTTTATCAGCGCGATCCTTTTCTTCGTAGCTGTCGCCGGCAAAGCCCCCAGGGGCGCCACCAAGCTCGCGGGCGTCTATTCAGCCTTGGCAATCGTCGGGACGGCCGGCGATGCTGCTATGGGTGTTTATAGAATTGTGGACGATATGGATAACCCTCTCCTCGCCATCCTGAGCGTCGCTATGTCGCTGCTGGTGCTGGGCGATGTCGTTAAAGTTAGTAAAGCTGCGAATCACTGCCGTGTAATGAAGGATATGCCGGAAGATCGCACCGGATAGGACGAATTACCACAGCGTTGCAGGTGCGTTAAGAACACATAGATTTAGATAGCGAGCATTGTACGTTAATCACCTACTAAATTGAGGCATACAGTCCACAGAGAATAGCTTATCCAGGGTTGCGCGAATCCGGAAGCATAAGATATGTCGCCTGGACCGGCGCAACCACAGCGTCATGGAACTGCTGCCGGAATTGCGAGAAATCAAAGTTCTTGTACAAATCCCGCCCTTGGAACGAAAACTTCACACATCGCTCCGTTGCATATCCATAAGAGTCTCCCGCTAGGCGGTACACCTCATCCAGGTTGCTCACCGCCGTCTGGTAGTCATCGAGCAGCGAGGCTGGCGTCATGCTGCCACCGGCCTCTCGGATCTCCGCAAAGGACTTGTTGGTGCAGAGCTCGATGAGGAAAATGCCGGGAGCGAAGACGGTTCTGTTGGGAATGAGATGCTTGAAATCATTGCTGGGCGGCTCCCCCATGCTTGCTGGCGGGGAGAAAATGCACGAGGCACACGGGTACCGCGAGAGCACCTCCCGGCCGTCCTGGGTTTTCTTGACGAAAATGCTCACTTGTGTTTGTTCCCAGTGGTCGCCAAACCAGGGACTGCCGCTCAGGTGCAGGACTGACCAGGCAATGGAGGTGGCGATGCCGTACCTTTGTTTTGCGGACAGAGAGAGATAAGAGTTTCGTTGCTGGGTTGCCTGCTCGAGAGATAAAAGTAAAGACTTTAGAGGAACAGCTTTGATGATTTCTGGCGAATCCTTTTCTTTGTGGTCAAGAAAGAATTGCCAATTTTGGTCCTCATCCGGGTCTTTGAGGAGACCTGTTAGAGTCCATGGATTGTGCTGTGTGCATTCTGCAACACAGAGACTGGTTATCCTGGTGCTTTCCGAGGTTAATACAGCAGTCAATTCCCGGGATGAGTTAGCAGGTGGAGCTATCGCTGCGAGTTTAGCAAAAGTTTTCCCAGAGGAAGATGTTTGGTCACTCACTAGCCGTAGTCGGAGGAATTGGTGGAGATGGACGCGGCCGGGGTGACGAGAAGACGGACTTGAATTGTGAAACCTTGGTTCGGATGGATGAAGTCGATGAAGGAGCTCTAGCTGGCGTAGGCGATGGGGTCAAGAGCTCAGGGACAGAAAGAACCATTTTAGTAGGAGTCTCTGGAGTCTCTGTAGTAATGCGAAGCTTCCGCCATGAATCAGGCCCCTTGGGTAGTTGTGAGTTTGTCCCATAAGAGATGGCCACTTTGAAAGGTTTTGCTGTATCAGACTCATGCGTCGTCCAGTCGAGATCGATGGCAGCTTGGTGAGGCGGCGAACAGACACAGCGGAATCCAGACTCGAGTGCTCGGTGAAGAGAACTGAAGCACTTGTGGATAGAATTGCAACGCTGAACATCGAAGCGGCGCTTGAGATCTTGAACTTTGCGACTGTCGTCTTCCGCCGGGACCTCGGAATTCTCAAGCAATCTCCTCAGATCTTCGTTCCAATGTCTGAGATCTTCGAGCACTTTGTCGCGCCTTTTAGCGCTGAGGCTGTATTTTACTCTGCGCCATTCCCATTGAAACTTCTCACGTCCAAAGATCGCGGACAAGTACATCCGTTCTATTGATTCGAAGTCGGATACGGCCAGGCTGAGCGACTCGAACACGTTGTCTTTGAGTGTCAGCTTCAGCAGCTCGGACGAGAGGCACATAGCAGAGAAGGTGCTACAATGGCGTGGCCTGACCAAGAGTGGGCAGAGTGTCGAGTTCGAGGACGAGCACGTTGCTCCCATGAGGCAAGGGTTGACAAGCGATGGAGTCAGAGATATTCTGTGGTTCTGTCGTCGCCTTGCAAGAGCGAATACAAGACGACGAGAGCAGCTTCAGTACTGGACTGATTATCCGTATGATCCCGAGCAGGATTCGACCAACGCAGCCAGTGTTGAAAAACCAGACATGGCCCAGTCTCCCAAAGGGCCGAGGTCAACCATGTCGAAGCAGAGTTTCTCTACGGCTGCTGTTTCAGATATACACGATACGAAGACCAACATTCGGCCACGGACAGTCTACGTGCCCACAGCCATCGGTCAAGCACGATCGAATTATGTCCCGAAGCCTCCAAAGTTGCTAAATGAAAGTGCGACATTTTCCTGTCCTTATTGTGGGATGACGCTCGAGTATAGCGAGATGCAGAACAGGCAGTCTTGGAAGTGAGTCAAACCGCCCTGGTATTCAATATTGGTCCAATCATGATGACAACGCAACTCATAGGCGCCATGTATTCCGCGATCTCGGCCCGTACGTCTGCACGTTCGAAGACTGCCAGAATGCCGGGAAGCTATACATCAGCCGCCATGACTGGATCTATCACGAACTTCAGATTCACCGGCGCGAGTATGCCTGCAAAGAGTGCCATAAGATATATCCCAACAAAAAGGCAATATCCACACATCTTCGAGAGCATCATGGCGAATCAATTTCGCCAGCCCGGTTAGGCGTCGTTCTGGATCTCTGCGATCGTCAGGTCGATGTCTCAGACAACAAGAAATACTCATGCCTCGTTTGTGGAGAGGAGCTCTCGCTGTCGAGATTGCAGGGAAATCTTGCCGCTCACATGGAGGATATCGCCCTCTTCGTCTTGCCCAACATGGATGAAGAGGAGGAAACTGGAGGATCAAAAGCTTCGAAAGCTTCGATACAGGTGGCGAAACTCAAGTCCAAAGGCGAAACGAGTGATGCCGAGGCGGAGGAAAGCAGTCTCGGCTTTTCTGAAACCAGAAATCATGGCCAGGCACCCGCCGAGCTCGCAAAGATTCTCAATAACGAAGAAATCGCTCAGGGCGGAAGCTACGGTAATTCTCTCCAGGCTGCTTCATACGCGAGTGACGAGAAGGCCGTTCAGGCGCTCCTGGACAAAGGTGCCAAGGCCAGGTCGCTGAACACAGAAGCTTTTGACTTTGAAAGTGGCGTAGATGAAGATGAAGTGAGGGATACCGATTTCGACCCGCTACCTGCAACCACTTTTGAAGATGTTACCGGCGGTACTGATGGACAAGAGTTGCAAGCACGAGGAGATGGTGTAGTGATGGAGAACGCTGGCGACGAAGCTATAGCCGCTGCTTATACTGTAGAAAAGGCTGAACAAGAGGCTAAGGCTAAGGCTAAAGAAGAGGAGGAGAAGAAGGCAGCTGAAGACGCAGCTAAGCTGCTGGCTGCAGCGAAAAAGGCGAGAGAGGAGGTTGAGGAAAAGACTGCAGAGGAGGCTAAGGCAGCGACGGAGGCGCACGGGAAGGCGCTTGCCGAGGTAGCTGCAGCTGCGGAGGAGCCCGCCCAACCCCCGGGACCTATGCCACCGGGGCCACTACCACCACCATCGTTGGGCGGTGAGCCTTGGACACCCTTGAATATGCCCCGCCGTGAGCCGTCAAAGGGTAAGGGGCGAGCCGGCAAGATTCTTGGAGATGGGCCGATACGACTCCCTCCCCCTCCACCGCAAATTATCGATGTGGGGTCCCCACCATCACCTATGGTCGACATCCTCAGTCCCATGCCGCCGGGCCCCATGCCGGTACCAAAGCCAGCGAAGGCAAAACCGAAGCCTCACCCAAACGTAGGGTTCCTTCGTTGGACCGCAGGTGGTGCTGTCCGGCCGGCGGGAAAAAGGGGTAAAACCTCTGAAACTCCTACTAGTAGCGGTGGGGACGCGACTTCCCCGGGAGCAACGACACAGGACGAGGATTCGCAGCACAGCAACAACGCGAAAGCTAGCTGAGTCGTTAGAGCAGTTGAGTAAGTTCATACCACTATATGACCAAGACTATGAATCTAACGTGCCTGGTCGCACCCAAGCAAAGCACCTCGAAGAAACAGCCCGTCTAGAGAGTGCTTTAGGTCTTAGCGTAGGTACCTAAGATACCCACCCAAAAACTCTAACAATTCCGTCTCTAATACTACGGTTTTCCGACCCGTTCGAACCGGCTCTAGGGTCTCTACACGTGCGGTCAAAATTCTGCCGTGTCGCATCCGCGATTCTCGAGCGAGAACCCCACTCGACTTTTATACTACCACTACCCAACCTTTATGCACAACTAAATTCCTGGTGCAGCCATTATATAGGCCTACTACCCGACTAAGCCTTAGTCGAGTACGGCATTGCGGTTAGGAGATAGAGAGTACGGCGTCCTAGTACATATAGTATTAGTATTATCAAATATATTAATAAGATATTAGACTTACTCTAGCAACTTTATAAGGGGGTTTAATACCAGTCCAAAGCTCGAACTTAAAAAAAAATAGTTAGAGGCGGGCCTTGCACACCGAACAAGTAGGATTGACTCACCTGATAGACACCCTGAGCTACCAGAACTTCAAGACCAGGTATCGTCTTCCACCCAAAGCTCTCGGCCAACCGCATCATCTCGGTGACATCCGGCTTGTACGCCATCTCCAGCAGCGTCCCCTTGGCCTCGCCGGCCCTCTCCAAAACCGCGCGCAGCCCGTCCCTGACGTTCGCATGGGCCGGCCGATCCGCAGGAATGGTGCAGACGACGACGCTGGGCGGCCGCTCAGCAGCAGCAGAAGAAGAAGCATCCAGCCGGCGGCGCACCTCGCCGGCCTCCTCCCCGCCATCCAGCACCACCAACGCGTAGTCCTCGGGGAACGACTCCTTCAGCGCCCGCGCCTTGGCCGCGCTCCTGCCCAGCAGGTAGATGGGCGCGCACCCCATCTGCCTCAGCGCGTACACGGCGGCGCGCGCCGTGCCGCCGGTGCCGACGACGACGGCGGCCGGCGGCGGCGGCGGCGCAGCATGAGCTGGAACCCCCACCCCGTCGTCGACACGCCCGCCGCCGAACTTGCGCAAGGCCAACACCATGCCCGCCCAGTCCGTGTTGCGGCCGATCAGCCGCCCCGTGCCGTCCTCGCGCACGATGGTGTTGAGCGCGCCGATGGCGCGCACCTCGGGCCCGACGCCGTCGACGAGCGCGAGGGCGGCGCGCTTCAGCGGGATCGTCACCGACGCGCCGCCGAAGGTCGCGGCGCGGAGCAGGGAATCGAGCTTCTTCTTCGTCTCCGCGTCGACGTCAGCCTCGGTCGCTTCGCGGCGCGAGTAGACGTGTGGAAGCCCCGCGTGGGAGAAGAGGGCGTTGTGCAGGGCGGGCGAGCGGGAGTGGGCGATGGGCGAGCCGAGGAGGACGAAGTCGCGGCGCGGCAGGTAGCCGAGGAGGGAGAGGAGGGTCTGGGTCGAGCGGAAGGTGAGCGGGGGCGCTGTGGCGGCCGCGGCCGGGCCTGGGGCGAGCGTCTCGTGCGTGATGGGGGTGAGGAGGGGGTTGAGGACGTGGCTGAGGGTGCCGGGCGCGCCGGCCGCGAGGAGGATGAGGGGCGGGTTCGGGGTTTGGGTCCTGATGGAGGGAGAGGAGGAGGAGATGGTCGAGCGGAATGTGCTGAACGAGGACAGGTCGTCGGAAAGGGTGCTGGTGGCGCGGCCGACGAGCTTCACGATGTCGCCGTAGCGGCGCGCGCGGTTGTAGTAAGGCGCCCACGTGTCTGCGTGTAGGGGGAGTCGGCCGTCGTGCTTCGACGCGATGACTTTGCTTGAGCCCTTGGTGGCGCTGATTTCGTCGAGCAGGCCGTCTGGGTGCGCGATGTCGACGTCGATGAACTCGAAGCCCAGGCGGATGGCTTGCCGGTAGAGGACGAGGGCCTCTTGCGAAGCGTTGTCGGGGAACATGCCGTCGTGGCTGACGTTCCGCAGGCTGAATACTAGAGGCAGCGCAGTGGCGTGGCGGAGCAGTGTGGCTTGCTCGACCAGAAAGTCTGTCGTTGGCACGCCTGCCCGGCCGTTGGGATCGTCCAAGAGATCTACCCGCAGCTCAACAGCATCTGCTCCTGTTGTGATCTGTTCCATCGAGCCCAGCACCTCGTTTACATCACGGACAGCAAGGCACACGCAATAGGACCGCTGCTTGCGTTCAAGCTTTTTGAAGAAGTCCTCGTGCCCCGTGATGACGCGCGTAAACCGGCTGAGAGCATCCACAGTGCTTTTCATGCCCATCGTCTCGGCGCTGTGAAAGTGAAAGTTGCTGCACTCGTGGTACCAGCCCCTGCGCCGTTCCCACACGCTCATCATGGGATCGACGTACGCCGGCCTGGTCTTATCCAAGCCAAGGTAGTCCATGACGTCCTGGATGCTGCGCGTGACGAGCAACACGACGCCTCCGTCCATCTTCCAGCGACAGAGCAAATCGCGAGCCTCGGCCATCTCGACGACGCCGCCGCCACAGGCCACGACGTGTCCAGCGGCGCGCTCGCCGGTCATGGTGCGCCGGAGCATCTTCAGCTCCTCGGCGCGGAAATGCTCCCAGCCGTGCTGGCGAACGACGTCGGCCACGGAGAGGCCGAGCTCCTCCTCGAGCGCCTTGTCAAGATCCAGCAGCGGCCAGCCGAGGCTCTTGGCCGCCCAGCCGCCCATGGTTGTCTTGCCGGCACCGCGCATGCCGATGATAAAGACGGAGCGGTTGGACGGTGTCGGCATCAGTGAAGGCGTTGGCGTGGCGCCGTGGAGCTCCGCGCCGAATACGGCGGAGAGCATGTCCCAAAACGCGGGCCAGGTCTTGGCCGTGCACTCCTTCTCGCCAATGGTGACGGCGGCAGGCGCCACGAGCGCCAGCACGCCAAAGCTCATGGCGACACGATGGTCGTCGTAGCAGTGGATGGCGTCGGCGGGTGCTCTGAGGTTCGCAGCGCCGCCCACGCCATCGATCTCGAGCCCGTCGTCTGTCTCGCGGCAAGTGACGCCGAACTTGGCCAGCTGCTGCGCCATGGCGGCGATACGATTGCACTCCTTGACGCGCTGGTTCGCGATGCCAGTGATGCGCGTCGTCGCCGTGCAGCCGTCGCTGCTGGGCCCGGCGACGGCTGCCAACACGGCTGCCGTAAGGAAGGCGTCGGTCATGCGCTCCATGTCCACCTCGGGGAGCGCCCTGAGCTGGTCTGTCGGGCCGGTGACGGTCGTCGACGTCGCCGTCTGAGACACGGTGCAGCCCATGGGCCGGAGCACATCGACGGCGAACCGAGCGTCGCCTTGGAGAGAGGCGGAGCCGATGGTCGGAATCGTGCACGTGGTGCCGGTGATGGCGGCGATGGCCAAGGGGTAGGTGGCGGAGCTGGAATCGCTTTCCACCGTGTACTCGGCCGGATTGGCGTACCTCTGCTGCGGAATGTAGTACGTGTCGGCCGCCGGCCTCTCCACCTTGACCCCGAATGACTCCATCATTGCGATGGTTATGTCGATGTACGGCTGTGAGATGACCTTGCCGCCCACGAGCCGAAGCGTCACCGGCTCCTTCGCGTAGGGGGCACACATCAGGATCGAAGAGACGTACTGGGAAGATATGCTCGCCGTAAGGCTGATTTCGCCGCCAACCAGCCCGCCCGACGCGCTGACTCGCAGTGGAAGGCTTCCCTGCTTCTCCAGGTAGTCAATCTCAACGCCATTGCTGCGAAGGGAGTCGACCAGATGCCCAATCGGCCTCTCTTTCATACGAGTGTTGCCCGTCAGGACGGTCGCTGTAGCCGACGAGGATGGCGTCGCCAAGGCCAACAAGGTCGCCAAGAAGCGCGAGGCAGTCCCGGCGTTGCCGACATACAGACCGTCGGGACTGGCGCGCAGCTTGCCTCCGCATCCGTGAACCACAAGCGTCTCGCTGTCGTCTTCCCAGCCGAACGAAGCTCCGCTCAGCTTGCCGACGGCTTCGAGCATGAAGTGTGTATCGTCCGAGTGCAAAAGATTGGTAATTCGACACGTGCCTGAGCCGAGAGCTGCAAGGACGAGGACCCTGTTGGAAATGCTCTTGGAGCCAGGCGGGATGCAGGCGACGGCGGCGGAGCCGATTCCTGGCGAGACATGGATGCTGGGAGAGAGAACAAGCCGCACGTCTGAATCCGATACTGGCGTTGCCTGCCTTTCATATGTCTTGCCAATCCCCGAGAGAAGAACAATTTTCTTTCGGTGGTCGTTCTTCTTGTCCACTGCCATGATGGACAGTAGTTCTTCTATGTCGCATGACCGCTTTGTCTGCTTTGTGACCATGTTGCTGTCCAGAGACGTGGGCAGACTCCAGCGGGCAATGCACCGGACCAACCGAGCGAAGGCACCCGGCGAAAGTATGCCGAGACGGCGCGCTAGCTCGGCTTCTTTAACCATGCCGATGGCCACGCATTCTCCATGGAGTACGTCTGGAGCAAGAATAGCCTCGATTGCATGCCCGATCGAGTGGCCGAAATTGAGGAGACCGCGCAATCCATCTTCCCGCTCGTCCGCCGAGACAACGTCGCTCTTGACGCTAATGGACCTCAAGATGATCCGCTGGATGATTGGGGTGATGCCAGGAGGTATGCAGGAGCCTGCCATGACAGCAGCAGCGTTGTCTTCGAGAAATGCAAAAAGCTGCTCGTCCCAGATGGCCGCCGTCTGTCGTCTCGTCAGTCAAGGGCTTCAACCTTCTGCAGCCAACTTACATACCTTGATGACCTCTGCCATGCCGTTCGCTAGTTCCCTCTTTGGCAGCGTTTGGAGGAACTGCGGGTCGACGTAAACGCGGTCTGGCTGCCAAAACGCGCCAACCAGGTTCTTCCCCGCTGGCATATCGACCGCCGTCTTGCCGCCGATGGACGAGTCTACCATTGCCAGCAGCGTCGTGGGCACCTGGACGAACCGAACGCCGCGCATGTACGTGGCCGCAACGAATCCGGCCAGGTCGCCGACCACGCCGCCGCCTAGGGCGATGATCAAAGTATCTCGCGTGCAGCGGTGGGACAGCAGCCAGTCTTCGATTGCTTCTTTCGTTGCCCGCGTCTTGGATTGCTCCCCGGGAGGAATGGCATACTGAAGCAGGCGAGCGTCCTCCGCACCATGTCTCTTGAAAATCGTTTGGAAAGTGGTCATGTAATCAAGAGAAGCAATGTTCGTGTCGGTGATGACAGCGTAGGTAGACGCCTTCAAGTTCGAAAGCAGATCGCTAGCAACGTAGTCGCCCCAGATGCCGTGCGCGACGACTATCGAGTCTTTGCCCAGAAGGCGGACCTTGGTGGGTCTGATGTTAACGTGGCTGGTCATCGTCGGGTTGCTTTCACGCGCGGGGCCAAAAGATTGGTGCTCTGAGGCGGGAATTGTGCTCCGAGGATGGCGCTCGGGACGTTAAAACTCCTCCTGCGAGCTAAGGCTAGCTACCAGCTGTCGTTCCAGCAGCTTTGGCTCTGCGAATTTCCTTTCACGAATCTATTCGAGTCTACAGGCGTCGTGCTTATCGCGCGGATGAAGACCGGGGTGTTTCGCGAGATACGGCCCGGTCCGCAACTCCTTCTGGCGATGATCCCTGCGCCTCGTACAATCAGATAGATCTACATCCCCGGGTGTACTACGGTCGCAGGCATATCTTTCGTTCGCGTGATTTCGGCGTAAATCATCGTTTCCAGGGTATTGGTAACATCCTATTGGCAGTATCCCTGGTTTTGACCCTTGTCGGAGCGGAGCGCGCTAACAAAAGATACGCCTGCGACCACAGTGCCCCCTGACATGGACTGAGTCGTATTAGTGTCTACCATATCGGCGCGGTTGTACGCGGCGGCAAAGGTTGATTATCAATCAACACTCCCTGTACACGTAGCCACCCTCACGCAGAATGAAACAGTCCATGACTCCTTAAAGCCGCCATGGGCCTTATCGTCGCTCGGTCATTCCAGTCCGGACCTCCAATCGCGCAAGACATTGCCCACTTTCGACCATGGCTACTGACGCAGCAGCTGAGAGAACATCCGGGGAAGAGAAGAGGGAAACGTCTCCGGAGACGGATGTTGAGCCGAGCAACGACATTCGCAACGTCGACTCGGTCCCCAACGGAGGCTTTACTGCTTGGCTGCAGGTTGCAGGCGCATACTTTTTGTTCTTCAACTCCTGGTATGATCCTTTGGCCCGACGCGTGGTGCCGGCACTGACTGCCTCCCAGGGGTGTTGTCAATTCGTTCGGCACTTACCAGACATACTACCGGAGTGAGCTTCTACAATCCTCGACGCCCTCGGCCATTTCATGGATCGGCTCAATCCAAGGTTTCCTATTGATGCTTGTTGGCGCATTGACCGGTCCAATCTATGATGCTGGCTACTTCCGTCACTTGCTGTACACGGGCTCATTCCTCGTTGTCTTTGGACAAATGATGTTGAGCCTCTGCACCGAGTACTGGCAGGTCCTTCTTGCCCAGGCTTTCTGCATGGGCATTGGAGCAGGCTGCTTGTTCGTACCGGCGGTTGCTATTCTAAGCACCTACTTTACCACCAGGCTCGCAACTGCCACCGGCATCGCCGCGAGCGGAAGCAGCCTGGGCGGGGTCATCTATCCAGTCATGGTGCACAAGCTCATTGGACGGGTTGGATTCGGCTGGACGGCACGCGCTATGGGCTTCGTACTGCTAGGCACGCTTCTGGTGCCGATTGCGGTTATGAAGGTACGCGTGCTGCCGGCATCACGGCGTAAGCTGGTCGATCTTAGCGCGCTGCGCGAGCTGCCGTTTATGCTATTCGTCCTGGGAGCTATGGTCGGCTTTATGGGGCTGTACACGCCGTTCTTCTACATCCAGCTATACGCCATCAACAAAGGAGTTGCGGATTCGGATTTGGCCTTCTACCTACTTGCTATTCTTAACGCCGGCTCGGTGGCCGGACGCATCCTCCCGAACGTACTCGCCGACCGGATTGGGCCCTTCAACACGCTCTTCCCTTGCGCGCTGCTGTGCTCGGTTCTGGTCTTCTGCCTCATACCCATCAGCTCGCTGGGATCCACCATCGTGTTTTGCATTCTGTACGGCTTCTTCAGCGGCACATTTGTGTCCCTACCACCGCCGGCCATTGTGAGGCTCACGCCGGACCGCAGCAAGATTGGCACGCGGCTAGGCACGGCCTTCTCCATCATCTCGGTGGGAATCTTGACCGGCACGCCGATAGCAGGCGCAATCCTAAACAGCGAAGGGTACACGAAGGTCTGGATCTATGCAGGCGCCGTCACCATGGCCTGCTCGCTTATGATGCTGGCGGCGAGGGGCCTGAAGTTCGGATGGAAGGTGCTGATCAAGACGTGAAGAACGTCTTGGAAGCCGGGCCAGCATGTAACTGAATCTCAGCGACTTTCGTCGTACCAGACGTGTCGCAACCCTAGCCCCACCTTCCTTCAATTGACCAATCAGGGACGAGGCACATCTCACCGTGCCTGAGTCGTTGCATCCCACGCTTGGCGCCCCACAGGCCTGCTTGCGTGTCGGCTCGTTAGAATATTATCAAGTACGAGTCATTCGAGCTTCCCGCACCTTCGTATCTATGGGTGATTTTCCCGGACCCACTCCTGCTTGATAATGCTTGTTCACACAAAGCCATTGCTTCTCCCAAGCACTATGCTTGGATATGACTCGACATCCCAAACCGCTCCGGAACTCCATTCGAGGAAAGAGAACGATGAGTCGAGATACCGCGATGATAACAACACAGCACCGCTGGGCTTGTGAAGGAGTCAGGCGACTATTCCTTTTGCCAGTCTTGTTCCAGTCCAGTCTTCGACCATGTCAACATTCGGGAAACACTTTCGTGTAACGACGTAAACAAGCGCCCTCTCTCCGTCGCTGGTAACTCGATTCTAAAATTGTGCAGCTATGGCGAATCCCACTGCCACTCGGTAGGCTGCATCGTCGACGGCTGCCCGCCGGGGATGCAGCTGGCCGAATCCGACATCCAGCCGCAGCTGACGCGGCGGCGGCCGGGCCAGAGCGCGCTGTCGACGCCGCGCGACGAGAAGGACCGCATCGAGATCCAGTCGGGCGTCGAGTTCGGCGTCACGCTGGGCACGCCCATCGGCATGCGCGTGCGAAACGAGGACCAGCGGCCCGCCGACTACGGCAACAGCACCATGGACGCGTATCCGCGGCCCAGCCACGCCGACTACACGTACATGGAGAAGTACGGCGTCAAGGCCAGCAGCGGAGGCGGGAGGAGCAGCGCCCGCGAGACGATCGGTATGTATACACACGCGTCACTGAAAGAACGAGCAACCTCCCTAACGTCATCGTGGAGGCCGCGTCGCCGCCGGCGCCGTCGCCGAAAAGTACCTGCGGCAAGCCCACGGCGTCGAAATCGTCGCCTTCACGCTCTCGGTCGGTCCGGAAGCGCTCTTGGCCCCATCCGCCGCGCACCCAACGCTGTCGTCGCACCCGGACTTCCTCGCGCTCCTCGACACCGTCGACCGCGCCGCCGTCGACGCCAGCCCGGTGCGCTGCCCCGCCCTGTCGGACGCTGCCGCCGCCACCGGCGCGCGCATGGCTGCCCTGATCGCCGCCCGCCGCGACGCCGCAGACAGCGTCGGCGGCACCGTGGCGTGCGTCGTGCGCGGCGCGCCGGCCGGCCTCGGCGAGCCGTGCTTCGACAAGCTCGAGGCGGCGCTGGCGCACGCCATGCTGAGCATCCCCGCAGCCAAGGGGTTCGAGATCGGGGCGGGCTTCGCGGGGTGCGCGGGGCTGGCGGGGAGTGCGGCGAACGATGCGTTTGTCGTCGACGACAGTGCAGATCAGCGGACTGGTGGTGACGACCGGGGGAGGAGCGGGAGGAAGTGGAGCAGGTTGAGGACTCGCACGAATCACTCTGGCGGCGTGCAAGGCGGCATCACCAATGGCGAGCACGTCTTCTTCACCGTCGCCTTCAAGCCGCCGGCGACGATTGGCCAGGCTCAGCGTACGGCTGGCTGGGACGGCGTCGATGGTGTGCTGGCGGCGAAGGGCCGGCACGATCCGTGCGTCGTCCCGAGAGCGGTGCCCGTCGTCGAAGCTATGGCTGCGCTCGTCATCATGGACGCGGTTCTGGCGCAGCAGGCGCGATCGGCGGCGCGGGAGCTACTCGCGGCTTCAGAGAAGGCTGTGTGATGGAGTGAATGGGGTGCGGGTGGCGGCGGGTGATGCCGAATGCACAGAGCGTAGTAACCAACCCGATACCACATGCTTCCAGCTAGTGAAACTTGAGTCATGTTGTGTCATGAATGTCGTTTTGCGGCCCACAGTCGTCAGGCTGCCTCGTGTACAGTTCATCGGGAACGCCACCGAAGACCAGGTGCGCGGTTTCCACAGGCGTCCTTGCAATTCTTGCCTGTGATTTCCGACTGCGAGTGGATGCGGATATCTCTTTTTCCGCGGGGCTCGTCGGGGAATCACAAGTGCTGCATACCGGGATACTGCAAAGGGTGGAGGATCAACGGTGGTGAGACAGATTGTTATCTCCATACCTCCAAACATCTCTTTAAGCCGGGTTCCGTTCAGCTCATGACTCGCCCTCTTTTCAGACAATCGTGAACGGCGACCAGGCTCCTTCCCAACTCAGTACCCTGTCTCCGCGGCAGCTAAAGGTATTACGGGGGAAGATGGGATGCCCCAGCAGGTGCGCGTGTTTCCATCTCCGGTACTCCTCTAGGAAATCGAGGTAGCCAACCGGTAGTGTTTTGGTGGTTTTGAATCTTATTTATATGCCCGCAGCCGCTGTTAGTGCTGATGCCAGAATCGTCAGAACTTACACTTCTGCTGAATCAACTCGTCTTCTACACCCCTGAGCAAAATGAGCATCCGATCCAACCTTGCCGACCCGGAGCCGGCTACCCAAGATGTCTTCAGCTACCTGTTCAGCAAGCGGCGTGACTACCCGACCGACCGGGTCATCTACCGCGTCGATGGCAGCGACGAGACGCTGACGGTGCGCGAGCTCGAGCAGAAGAGCCGGCAGTTTGCGCACACGCTCGTCGACAGATATGGGGTAAAGCAGGGGGACACGGTCGGCATCCTGGCCTCTGACTCGGTAAGCAACGGGTTACCCGCCCGCCCGCCCGTCCGCCGCTACGCGGTCTCGGCAACTTGAAACTAACCGAAGACAGATTGCATACCCTATCGCGTATCTTGGCATCTTGGCTGCTGGGGCGATAGTGGAGCTTGTTCCGATCCAGGCCCAGCTTACGGCGCCCGACGTACGGCTGCGGCTCGCACAGGCCAAGACCAAGCTTCTGATCACCGACCTTAAGCTTCTGGGCATGGCCATCAACGCGTGCGAGACGCTACCGCAGGTTAAGCTGCTCGTTCTAGACGGCACGCGGTCGCAGCTCAACTTCTTCAGCGACGAGTGCCCGCAGTACTACGGCTTCCGGCTACGTACGCGCGAGGAGGCTGAGAACAGTGTTGCCTTCGTTAACCGTACTAGCGGCTCGACGGGCAACATGAAGTCGGTGCTAACGACGCACGGCTACTTTATCGCGGTACTACAGTCGACGCTCGCCACGGTACCAGCTAATACGGATCCGGACGCCGATACGTGGCTCTCGTCGCTCTCGCTAGGCTTTTTCATCAATGCTAAACTGCACATCGGGCTGAACATCCTGCTGGGCATTCCCGTCGTTCTAATGCGCGAGCCCTTCTCCCGCGCTACCCTCAGCATCATTCCCCGGCACCGCATCACCTTCCTCTTCGTGCCGCCCGCGCTGGCCGCCGACCTCGCCGCTGCCGGCACCGGTAGCACGCCCGATGTCAGCTCGATCAAGTGGCTGCTATCGGCGGGCGCGCCCATGCACGAGGGGCTGGCGGCACGCATCTCAGCGCTGCTGAACGGCGTGCACGTCGCCATGGAGTGGGGCACGTCGGAGACGCTGCTGATCGCGATCCAGACGGCGGGCCACGCCAGCCCGCCGGGGTCGAGCGGGGTTCTGGTTAGCGGCATGGAGACGTGCATCGTCGACACGGAGACGGGCGAGCTGCTGCCGCCCAGCAGCGGCGAGCGGCGCGGCGAGATCTGGGTGCGCAACCGCGTGTGCCCGTTCGGCGGCTACAAGGACAACGACGAGGCCAACGCCGCCGCCTTCGACGCCGACGGCTGGTACCACAGCGGCGACTTCGGCTACATCGACGAGCACAAGAACGTGTTCATTCTCGACCGCCTCAAGGAGCTGATCCGCGTCGGCGACGGCTACGGCGTACACGTCAGCGCCACCGAGATCGAGGCCGTGCTATTCGAGCACCCGGCCGTCGAGCAAGTCGTTGTTACGGGCTGCTTCAACGATAAGACGGCCCGCGAGCACCCGACTGCCTTCGTAGTGCTGAAGGCGGACGCCGACAAGGACCGCGTCACGGCGCTTGCCAGCTTGCAGGCTTGGACGGCAGAGCGCCTGAATGGATTGCAGAGGCTAACCGGTGGCATCATCTTCGTGTCGAGGCTGCCGACGGTGGGGTTCAAGATCAACCGCAGGGCGCTCAAGGGCCTGGTTAAATTTGATACCGCGGTGCAGGCTAGCCCGCAATACATTGAGGTGTAGATATCAGATAGTGTCGTATTGAGACTTCATTCCGTGCTCTTTGCCTGAATAGGCCGTTGCTCCCGAATTTGATATGTGGCGGGCGAACGGAGTGATGGGGCGAGCGGTGGTGTGTTCTCAGATTTTGCCCGACTTGCCTGATGACTGAAACCCCCCCGGACATGGTGGAATGCTGCGGGTTTGGCCTATCACCCCCCGTTCTAAGCACTTGCTGCTCTTCACCACAGCCATCAATCATGAGCGGGGACCGCACGTAGTCTCGTCCAGCTGAATATTGAATGAATGAACGTGAACGTGAACAGTCCCAGAAGCTTCTATGCAAGCAAGCGTGCATGAATCAGCCGTCGGTCAGTGGCACTTCGTTTTTCTCCAGGGCAGCTCCCGGACACGGGAGCGTGGCAAAGCCGTTCCAGGTGTCTCCCCCACCCTTGATGAGTCGTGGATGGTGAGATAGCCACGAAGAGGATGGTTTGTTCGGGCGCCTTTGAGCTGGCAGTGCCGGGCCTAGATCGGACGATGCAGCTGGAGGCCTCACTGATCCGATCCCAATGCCCCTGCAGGCTGGGTCCATGGTGGGGCTTCGTGTTTATTGCAAACGAGGCGGGCAGTGCCATCGCAATGAGTCACTGTGGTGTTGGGATCGAGGAAAGGGTTCCCGGAGTCGCACTTTGGATACGACAGGGCTGAATGCGCTCTTGCTGCGTACACCTCGAACGTCCCAGGAGGCAGTCGTATCTCCGAGACTCCAATTTCCCTTTGCAGAATCCGGGCGTGGAGATAGGCGTCGACGGCGGCGGCGCTCCGGAACTCCTTCGAGGGGGCAGAACAGTATATAGACGGCGGGAAAATGCAACAGACCACGGCCGTAGAGACACAGCAGCGGACTGCGATTCCCACCATGACCATGACGACTCCTCTCGACGAATGGACCGCCGACTCGTGGCGGTCGAAGCCAGTGGCACAGGACACGGAATACCCGGACCCGGCGGCGCTCGAGGCCGTGTGCGCGACTCTGCGGTCGCTGCCGCCGCTGGTGTCGCCCGCGCGGATCGAGCAGCTGCGGCTCGAGCTGGCGCAGGCGGCGGCAGGGCGGGCGTTCGTGATGCAGGGCGGCGACTGCGCCGAGAGCTTCGACGACGTGCGGGCGGAGCCGATCGCGGCCAAGCGCGGGCTGCTGGGGCGGCAGGCGGCGGCGCTGGCGGCGGCGCTCGGGCAGCCGGTGGTGCAGATCGCGCGCATTGCGGGGCAGTACGCAAAGCCGCGGTCCAAGCCGATGGAGCAGCTGGCCGACGGCAGCGTGGTGCACGCGTTCAAGGGCGACAACGTCAACGGGCGCGGGGCGACGGCGGCCGAGCGCACGCCGGACCCGCACCGGCTGCTGCTCGGCCACCACCTCGCCGCCACCACCCTCACCTTCCTGCGCATCCTCGACCCCACGCCCGTCTACACGTCGCACGAGGCGCTCCACCTGCCGCTCGAGTCGGCGCTGACGCACGGGCGCTACAACACGTCGGCGGCCTTCGTGTGGGTGGGCGAGCGCACGCGGCAGCTGGACGGCGCGCACGTCGAGTACGTGCGCGGGCTGCGCAACCCGGTCGGCATCAAGCTCGGCCCGACGACCGACCCGCACGACCTGGCGCGCCTGCTCGCCCTGGTCAACCCGACGCGCGCGCCGGGCCGCGTCGTGCTCATCACCCGGCTGGGCGCCGACCACGCCGAGCAGCACCTGCCCAAGCTGGTCGCCGCCGTGCGCCAGGCCGGCCAGCTGCCCGTGTGGATGTGCGACCCGTGCCACGCCAACACCTTCGTCGACCGCCAGACGGGCGTCAAGACGCGCCTGGTCGAGCACGTCGCCGCCGAGGCCGTGCGCACCGCCGACGTGCTGCGTGCCTGCGGCGCCCACCTCGCCGGCCTGCACCTCGAGCAGACGGGCGAGCCCGACGTCACCGAGTGCGTCGACCGCGAGCACGCCCTGGTCAACAACCCCAACACCGCCCCGCTGTTCCCCCGCTACCGCTCGCTGTGCGACCCCCGTCTCGCCCCCGACCAGGCCATGCGCGTCGTCCACGCCGTCGCCCACGTCTTGCGCTCCCACCACCACCAGCCCGACGACGACCTCCATCTCCCGCTTCCCGGCACCGCCCACTCTCCGCCTCGTCATCTCACCGATTCCCTGATGCCCGCGCCCCAGCAGGTCCAGTGAGGGAACGTAAAGTCGGCTTGGGATAGCAAGCAGTTTCGCTCTGTTCGGCCATGGAATGATTTCTCTTTGTTTCTTCGTTGCTCTAGCGATAGTGGTAAATGATTATCCAAATACATCCGCTTCTCTTCCTGCATCCTCGCTTTTGTCTCGTTGTACCGGCTTTGGAGCCGCCCATATCTAAGAATATTCTACTTGCCGGAGTCAGGCTCTGCATACGTTGATTTCTCAAATTAGGGTTCGGGGTTCTCGTATTTGTTGCTTTCCACTTCAGCTCCGAGGGGCCCAGAGCAGCAAGAAATCAAGCAAGGCTACGGAGAGAGCTATCTATATGAACAAAGTACTTGACAAACATTGAATGGCAGGGCTCGCAGTCGCAGAGTGAGACGAGTGATCCAGTCATGTTTCCCATTTTGCCTTTCGACAGCAGGTAAGTATATACCCCGGTACGAGCCGGTGCATCGTCAGTATGCAGCAGGATCACCATGCAGGGTTCAACGTTCAGGGTGTCATTCGGACCTCTCACAGTGCCCCTGCAAATGAGCCAATCGAGAAGGTGCTTGGAACCTTGCAATGTATCTGCGAGATTGCCAACATACCCTTGCTCCTCCAAGTTAGGGAACAGCTGTTGTCCGATCCAGCGGCAATTGCGGTAATGGACACACAAGCGGCTTCAAGTGATGCTGAAGATGTGCATAGACTGTTGCAGCTTCATTACGACATAAGCACGCTTTGTACCATCTCGTGGGCTACTGGTTACCACGTTGCTCTACAACAGTTGCGATACTACGAGCACTTTAAGGCTTTGGTGAAAAGAAATCACACAAGGGCGGCAAAAGCCAGGAATGAACGAAGGAACTGCAAGAAACGTAGAACCACGAAAGATATACTACTTGGCTTAAATCCCCCGCCGCTATCCCCCGTTCGAATAGAGGTTTTGGTGAAGCGACAAATTCTATCATCTATGATTGAGCACGGAATAAGCGAGAAGGTTGCCAAAGATGACTTGGAAAAGTTACCCGAATGAGGGAAGAAGCTTCATTTGTTCCTCGGATCAGCTAGCCAGAGCCTCCTCGCCTTATTCCCGCTGTATGACACGAGCTCGACGCGGCCTTCGCTTGACATTCTTTCATACGGACCTCCAGATGACATCTCAAAGTTAGTAGAACTGCGACTGGGAATCGAATCTTTATGGTAAACCTCCTAGCCTAAGTAGGCTCGTACCTCTGACGTACTTACGCGTGATAGCCTCTTCAATCTGAACACTCGCTTATCCGCCTACTTTAGAGAACAACTATTCGTCGCTCGCCCTAAACTTAAGCATCACTAGTAGGACAACAAGAAAATCCCCACGATAGCCTCCAATCTCGCCCTTAAAAGCTTATTAGAAGACGAATCGACATCAACAAAACCTTTTAAGATAGCTAGGCTATTTAAATTAATTAAAGGCCCGGTGTCGCATACTACGGCATAGCCTTTATACTAAGAATTAAGGCGGAATATAACGATAAACTTCAATTTATTTAATGTAAACCACGACAAAAGAAAAACATCGGCCTCGTCGATGAGGCACGCGATATTCTACATTTAGCAAGTTTCAAACGCCTTTTTAAGCAGTCTTTATTTTTTTTTTTTAAAGTATACCCTTTTCCAACATGAGAACGCTCTATAACTGTAGACTCTTAGCTTTTCTTAAGAATTTCTTAGATATCGAAATCTTACGAGATTTAGCAGCGGGGATCTTATCTACTTCGGATAGATCGTATAAAAATATAAGAACACGCTTACCGTTAGATAAGCACGTCTTTTTTTACTAATAAAAAACCGAATCTTACCGTCTAATAATACCTTCGAAGAGTAAAATCTCTTAGCATTTTCTTCTTAGAATCCAGTATGACTAAAGTTTTAAAGCTACTACTTTAGAGTCTATATACTGGGAGTAACGGTCGGTTAGCTTTTAGCCTTATTACAATAATATAATAGCCCGTAGTAGAGATATAGTGGTTCGGCCTCTTCGCCACACTCGGGGCTATTTTTATACACGTACCTCTTGGCTCGCTCAGCCTTACTGATTCGTTCCTTACGTTGCGCCCACATTGGCTGCATCTCTTTAGCTTTGAGCCAACCAAACCCAGTCACCACGCCTGCTCCACTACGTGCAGATCGGAGCTGGCGCCGAAATCAGGTAAAAAGGGGCTAGCGGGCTGTACCGGCATGTGCTGCGTACGGTCGATCGGGCGGGGTCCTTTTTTTCGTAGCACATAGGAGCATGAACCATGGATTTACGCCTATCTCATCACATGAACGAGCATGGGGACCCTTGAAATGATTCCCGTAAGCAATGACTTCGTACTACTTTGTGTATCCTGACCAGGCAACAGCACTAATGTACGACATTCGGCTGGATGAACTGCTCTTCGCGCCCAGTTTACGCGTTCTTATTTGTCCCTGTGTGCACCTCTACTCGGGCTGTTGGTATCACCAGCTGATCTGCCGTGCAACGCTTCCTCAATTCCGGTGAGCTATATTCAGAGGTGCACTGTCGGCGGATGCCGTAGGCGCCCCACAACATACCCCCCTCACGTAGCCGGTGGCTAGCGAGAAGAATAGCAGGGGATTATCCTGGGGAATGACAGTGACAATTCAGGTGATGTGATGGGCCAAGCTCCCGTCGTCTATTATTACTTTCGCCAGTTGGCAGGCATCGGATAAATTAAGAGAAATAAATTCAGAACGGTTACCGGCTGCGCGAAGGGGGGGTTCACACCAAATGCCATGGCCAAGAATCTTGCATGCTTGGGATTCGAACAATTTTCCTGGGGCCAAGGTAAGATTGTACAATTGCCGCGCGCTTGAAACAACTATACTGCCCCATCCTTGGCGCTGTTTCATGGGCCAGCCCAGCCAGAGGTTTGAAGTCCAACACGTAGGGGGTCAGAGGCAAGCCTTGCTGTTCAGCTTTCAATAGAAAATCGCCAAACCCCTCTGTTACTTCCCCAGTTTCGTTTTACTATTCAATCCTGATCCCCAATCCACCAGCTTCATCTCTTCGGCGCCGCCAACTTCTACATTCAGATCACACGAACATATAACGCTGGCTACACTATTGCGGTATGGGTTTTCCGAGTGACCCTTCGGGCGCTTCCGCGAACGTAATCGCGTTGGACCACCTCGGTAGCGTTCCTGGCCCTGTCGTCAATCAGACGATGACTATTACCAGCCATGAAAGTGGCGGGATGACCCAATAAGAAATTATCCTCAGTCAAAGTTACGCGGCTGCATATGGGTATGGGACTAATATACGCCACAGCACATGGGGTTTCGTCCTTTGTATATGTCTTTGCCTTGGCTGCATTCCTTATTGCATCAACGGTACGAAAAATGTGAGACATCGATGCAGCAAATGTAGTGCAGACGTCGCAATCTGGCACCGTAGTGGGAGGACTGATCCAATTTTCTGAGGGTGGGACACTGTGTGGTAAACGATCGTGTCAATGATCCAGAGTACACAATGGAAGAAGAGCAAGATTATCCCTCTAGATGTAGTCCATGTTGAATCAGACTAGTATTTTGATGAAGCAGCCTCATCTCCTCCCACCGAATCCACTCCGCTGACGGGTAAATGTTCGTCTACGTTTCGTAAATGAGTGGTTCCTGTAGAAACAGCCCGCGCCGCTTCCATAGCAGGAATGGCATATGGCGAATAACATGCCATTCCGCGGCTTGCAACTTTCGCAGAAGTAAAGAGCTCCTTCCGACCTCAATGCTTTCCCGCAGCCCTGAACGTCACACGATGCTAAGTAAGGAATGTCCATGGACTGGAGCTTCTCAAAAGCATTGTACCGCATCAGCACATGGGATTTGTTCGCACAGCCGCCACTTGTTTCGTAGCATCTATGGCAGAGATCAAAGTCTCCTCTGTCGCATACGTTGCAGTCTTCACAGCGGTCAGCGGGAACAGATGGGGAAGCGAGATCAGAACCTAAACTTACGGTAAAAGACTCCCTGATAAACCTTCCTTTCGCACCTAGAGCATTTAGCCCCTCCTGTGCCGCGTATTTCGTATGGATGACGGCCATCTTTACCGGGAGCAAAGGCCCAGATAAAGGAGTAGAGAGCGTGGTTTGTACCATCATTACAATGCTCGCCGGATTGGTAGCAATTCGAACAGATGTCGAATCCGCCAGTAGATTTGTTACATCCAATACATTCTTCAAAGTCAGCGTTTCTTATAATCGCTTGATCTTAGAGGACAGCTTACGGTAGTATCTTCCTTGATAGATGTTGCTCTTGCAGATATCGCAGAAAAGATACTGAGTCTTTTCAAAACGTTTGCAGGCATCGTGTCAATTTGGATGAAAGAGATTCCCGACCAACGCAAATTGAAGGCGGTGCAGACCGCGACGCAGACAGTGGCATCGCGTTCCCTCGCTGTAGCAGTCTGTGCACAGGTCATAATCATCTCTCTTGCAATTGATAGTGCACTGGCAACAGTCTGATGCCGGTCAGTGTCAGAACCAGTCAGGCTGTGTCAAGGGATCCCACTTACGCCAGTAGAACCCGGAGGTGATCTCCTTAGAGCAGCTGTTGCACTTCATGCTTCTGACACCACAGAGGCGGCTACATCCGAGGTGTTCTGACGCTTCACGGTACCAGTCTCCGTCTTCGAATGATTCAGTGATCCACCAACACAGCTGCTGGGCTATAATCTCCCCAAATCCCGATTCGAGAGACAAAGCTGCATCCTCTCCTAGTTGCTGTCCGAGAGAGTTTGTTAGGTCAATTTCTGCGTTGTCAATACTGAAACTCGAGGAGTTAACCATTGCAACGTTTGATGACTGATCACCTGGTGCAATGCCGATGAGCTCAGCAACGCTCTGTGCACCCTGCAATGCATGCTCCGGTTGGTTGATTGCACCGTACAGCACGCCATGGGCAGCGGCTTTGGGAACAGAAGCCGTCTGTTCCAATTCGGGGTCGAGGACCAAACCGGGAAATACGGTTTGTCCGGATGCGAAATCTGCGACGTCGTTGATTTCGACTAGAGTGCTCAAACCGAAGTCCAGTCCGGCACCCACGGCAGCACCAACGCACTGAGCGAGTAAGGGTATTTCAATGTCCTTGGAGTCCAGTTTGTGCAGCGGTATACCACGCCTCGTGAGCTCCGCGCGTATCATTTCGAGCTTTCGGTGAGCGACGCGCCATCTCCTCCCTCCCACAGTACTGGCAATGATCAAGCTACCGCCGCGAGTGAGAACAACCATGCAGATACCGACAGCGATCGATAATGCGCAGGTGATCTGTCTCCGCAGCTTTGCGATCTCTTGTTTCTGGAGGTCTTGCGATGACATCTCCCGGAGATGTTTCTGGTACTCGTAGTCGTCAAGACCGAAGAAGCCTCCGTATCCCAAGACCATGTCGAACAACGATGGATTTCCTGTGCCTTGAAACCAAGTATTCGGAGTCTCCGAAGCTAATTGAGAAGGTTGAGAGAACGTGTGATAATAGTGTTTTTGGTCGTATTGCTTTTTGAGATTCCTATAACAAAGCAAGCCTGCGTAACCCACCATCTTGCACTCAGCCTTGCCTTAGCACGCGCGTCGATGTATGCACGTCCGGCCATAGTGGCGGAGCTCCCAAGTGTGCCTTGTTGCCGCCGTCATCCCCAGAAAGGTCCCTGCTAGTCCCCGTGCACTGGCTCTGGTAGGGGGGTTATGAGCACAGGATATGCATATGGGAGTACGCCCTGAAACTTTGTCACCCGTCGCTGAGACTTTCCCAACTAAGCTGATGTATGTCAGGCAATACCCATCAGCCTCGAGTGTCACATACTGTGTCGGCTTCCCTTAATCTTCGCACGACTGGTTCTTTGCTCTTCTACTGTGTAAGCTCTGGAACAGTGGCGCTCTAATTACGTCTATTGGAACTGGATGGCGTTGCTGGGTGCGGTAACACAGATTATGGCTTTGACGGCTACTCGCTCCGACTTGTGGACAAAAGCGAATATGAAACAGGAGGAGAAGAGTGAATCCCAGACGGGCGGCTCACCCGACCCAAAGTTGCGCAGCTGTGTGTCGTTGCCTGGCCATGGTGTCACAGAAACAAGGCGCACCAGTCATCCAATCGTGTTATCAGGCCCTCCGACGGAGATGAAACATGAGCGGCTAGCTCTGCGGCCGCGCGTAATTTAAGTACTTAGGTAACAAACGTTCTGAAAACTTTCCGTGTAAAGTTTGCTTGCAAATGGCCCGGCGTAGCACGGGTTTTCCGGTCCACTTAGTGCGACGATAATTAAAAGATATATTTCAGACTACAGTACTCTATAATAACCAATCAAGGTCAAATTCACCTTCGCTATCTATATCATTAGAAGCGTCAGGCTCCTGCCTAGCAGCTGGATCCCCTCGTAACGTATGCAACTCTTTGTTGACCATTCTATCTGTCAGCTTCCCATCACCAATGCTAGGCAGGTATGGGACAAGCACGCGATCTTCTGAAGCAATGCAAGATCCCAAGCCACGGCTCTTCCCAGGATTGGTGACAATGATCTTGACCGTCGCTGCCACCGTCGTATCCCAAGTGAGCTCCCGCAGATCGTACATGACCTTGTTTAGGTCCTGGATCCACTCGCCTCTCTCAAGCAACGAAACGCCGTCGACGAAGATGAACAGGATGACGTGGCGGTCGAGCTGACGCACGAGCCTCTTCAGCGTGTCGGTCAGCTGGCCGAGCGAGTGTCGCTGAATGTATTCCTTCGGAGTGCGGGAATCGATAAAGCTGAGGTTGAAGTTGCCCAATCAAAGCAGCTGCGCTAGTATGCCTCGGATCAGCCCGTTCGGGCCACTGAGCGGATCGCTGCTCGAGGTGTGCCTGCCGCAGAAGAACTGAACAACTTTCGTCGGCTGCATGATGCCGATGGTGCTGGTCAGCATTGCCGTGAGGGCCGAGAAGGCTGACATCCTCTCAAATGTGTCTTGTGAGCCGGATGTTAGGAGTGGACCCCCTAACCCACCACACCACGCACGTGTGGGCCCTCTCGAGGACAAAAGAGGTACTGGAATGAACGCATTAGGCGATCATTCAGGCGTGGTCAGTTAATAAACCTATGTCGGGGCATGTTCGTGACACCGGGCGGGCAGTCTCTCTCTATAAATAGTGCTCCTGGGCGATCCGAATAGAGACGGTTGATGACTAGGGGGCACTGCATCAACCACAGAGCGCCGCCTTTGGGAAGAGTATCTATACGATGGGTATGGTGCTGCGTTGATCTCAAGTCTTTTTCGAGTCCCTCTTTATCTACGCCGAGTGCTCTGAAAAGATCACCTTGGTCTATGAATGGAGTAGGAGCTACAAGCATTTTGCCCTCGTAGAGACCTTTCCACTAAGCAACGTTCAAATCCCGCTGATAGAGAACATGAAACATCCCGTTTTTTATATCTATCCCATTTTGCTCGATTCTCGCTAGCTGTTCCCGGTCCTGTTGACTTTGAAGGTCCTGCTTCGAAAGAGACTCCAGGATCTTCTCTGCATTGATTGCCGAGTGATTTGCGTCGCGACGAATGACTGGGAGCTCGGCTCTGCTCTGGTTGGTGCTTTGATGAGTTTCGCCTACTCTTTGGGCTACAAGTTCGTTTGTGCGTTCGTCCATCCTGCGCACCTGCTTTTTAACCTTTTGTAAAAGGTCCTCGATGGACTGGGCCCTTTCATCTGGCAGGAAGACGGACTTGAAGTGTTTTCTATCCCGATTTATAAATGTCGGACCTTGAAAACAGGTATGTGTACTCCTTATTATGGCCCTCTGTTAACCAATCAATGGTACCATCAAGGGCCCGCAAAAGTGCCTCATTGAACTAGAATGATATCGCATACATGGCAGCGTCTTTCGCATGGGCCTGCTGAAGATGTTGGATGTGACATACCGTTAAAAAAGCCGAGAATAATAACTCTAACGCTCCCCATCTCTGCTGCTGCCTAGGCATTTGAAGTTGAAAGTCAGACAGGGATGAAAGATCAAATGTGCAGGAAGAAACTATTTTGCGCTCGAACGCATCGTGAAAATGGTATCAAGACCTCCACAAACGGCGGAAGTGTAGTCTATGTCAGGGACGAGCTGAGCTAACGCTTGGAACGCGGATGCATAATCCCCCACCACTCGGCCAAGTATCCGGTGAGCACCCTCAAATCCCTTTCCATCAGCTTTGCACCTCTGTTCTGCTTCCTGCGCCTTGTTGAAAATTGCAGACCATGTCAAGTTGTCAAGCCCGGCAAGGTCGACGATGCTTGATTTGTCGACGTCTCTTCGGTATCGCTAGGCTGCTTCTACTAGAGAATTTAAAATAGTCAGCATATTGATATGACTTAGAAATTAAATGTTGGAGGCGCTCACTGAGAAGGAAGTCTACGCTGATATTCTGCCCTCTGCATATCGAAATGCGATGCAGTAGAGAAGGCTTGATGAATGCGAGGGCCTTCAGCGTCTATCCACATGGCTGTTTCAACTGCTGCTTGCTTGGAAGCTTTCAGGTGGCGCTTGAAGTTCATGATCAGATGAAGGGAATAGGATAGAAAGGCTGAAAAGATTCTATGAAGGACACGTAAGAAATGAGAGGGGAGAGCCGAAACTTCCAGCCTCAGAACCCCGCTAGAGCACAAGGTTGAGGCTCGGCACTATGAAAAATTATCTTTTGTTGAGATCGCCGATTTCCAGGAAGCAACAACAGGGATCTGAGATAGTTGGCTGTGAGAATGCAGCTACCCCTTTCGAGCTCGTCAAGTGAAACCAGCTGAAATGCAGTCAGCACTGGGATTTACACACCTTGGTAGCGGGGTAATAATAAGGCTGCAAATGTTCGGCAGAATTGACTACCATCCAATCGGGTACCGTTCTTCTCGTGTTAAAAACTAAGTAACCGTTACATTGTAATACACTACCGTAGCCTTACTATTAAACGAGCACGATAGACTCTAGAACTACTCCATCTCGCATTGCATCAGCCATAAACTCTCCTTCCATAACACCATGAACATATGAATCTCCAACAAAAGTGTACCGACGCTCCGAACCTTTGTCTGATTCCTTCCCCAAGGACCGCAGTACAACGGGTACTTTTCCGCCGTTGAGTATCCATACTTCATCCCCTTTCTGGGAATCCTCTGAAGCGAGCCCAAGATAACCCTTTTCTGAAATGAAAAGTTTCCGGCCTGATGCCAGGAAGGAGACGTGGCTTGTAAATTGTTGGAACATGAGCGTGAAATGTCTACTCGGCGGACCTGGTATGTCCCGGTATTTTTCATGTCGCAAGAGCTCCCACCACCATTCATCATGAAAAGCTCTTGTGTTTGGATCCGCTTTCTTGGGAGTATCCCCGGAGCTTTCAAATGGGTCAATGTTCATGCAGAGAGTTCGCCAGTATGCATCGAGCATGGTTGACCCAGTTATGTAAGGCTGCTCCGGGTCCTTTTCAACGTTGACTATTTTGCGCCAATCCTGGAGGACATCCGGGTCGTATGTGTTGCTCTTGAAACGCATTGCGGCACCAAAAGTCGCAATAGTGTCACAGAAAACCCCTTCGGAGTGCAGAAGCATTGGCGAGGAGCGCCTAGGGCAATGGTCAGCCACCGAATTCCGATGACAGGCATTGAAGAAGCCTGCGAATGATTGCCGTACGCTCAGACCCTCAAGGCGCCAGTACTCAAACGTCCGATTATCACTCCAGTCCGGAGCCCATGAAGGTAAATTGTCTGGACGGGCCTGCTGGGAGTCGACAGACGTCGGTAACACATGCGATAGGACGTCCAAGTTGCCGGTTTTTGCGATAAGCTCAGACGCAGCTCGGGAGTAACACTCGGCGACACTCCAATCATAGTGGACAATGCTTTTGGAGAGATCGGTAGTGAGGCCCAGTAATCCAAAAACTTTATCACGAGGGTTCGTGGCGAGACGATGGCGAATTTTGGATGCGATCTCGAGGAAGCTCCATGGGCCGTTGCTCTTCCCCAATTCGACCATATCCCCCACTCTTTTCAGAGACTGGGACAACTGCACTTCCATATTGCCGATGCCATACTTGCCTGTTATATTCATCATGTCGCAGCATTGGTCGTAAATGAAGTGACGGGAGAAGCTTTCTATAAAGCCTTCCATTTCGCCGTTCCGAAAAACGTAGGTCCCACAGATGTAAGTGATTGATTTTGCAAGGACGGCTTCTTGCAGTGTCCAGATGCGCAAGTACCATTCATTTCGCAGCCACATGAACAGGTTGAACGTCGGTGGTTCTATGCTCTTCTTGACGTCGGAATTTTTTGTTGGGTCCCAGTGGAGGTCGGGGTCTGCTCCAAAGTGCTGGATCGCCCGAAGACAGTGTGCAGAGTCCTCTTCCAAGCCCAGCCATACAACGACACGCTCTGCACCCTTGTAAATTGAGCCCATCATTCCGACTTGATGATTGCGTTCTTCTATGTCCTTTTGGTTGATGCATACTGCGTCAACCCAAAGATGACAGGTTTCTGTTCGGCTCCTGATATATCTCAGGGCGCACTCCAAGTTCTTCCCAACTTTGATCTGTTGTCCTTGGATCTCGATCGGGCGTTGTTCTGTTGGATCCCCCCAAACGTATGAAAGGGCATGGAATTTGGCTCTTGTGGATTCGACTGATAGGTCGCATTGTATGGGATCATCAAATGCCGCGGGGCGAACCCGAAGGATGCGAATCCGTTCTGGTGTTTTGTCAAGAGACGTGTAGATGGTAGAAGAACCCATTTTGCACTGGGCAGAGAATAGGCTTACGTCTTTCAGATGATGTAGCGCTATGAAGTTCTTGGTGCGAGAAGGAATCGAGTGCATTCTTGAAACTGAGTCCAGCTTCATACTGCATTGCTGCATTGCCACGTCATACGCAAATTGGAACTTCTTGGCATGCTTTTCGTGGTGTGAGGCGTCTAATCACGTTCGCAAAACCCCCGCAAAATATGACTCCGCATGACAAGTCCATGTACAATAAGCTGTCGATCGAGCTTGGTAATCTATTCGGTTACACAATAGCAGAGGGTGAAACTTGGCCTTGCGTTGGATAGCCGTCATCATGCATCGAGCTCGTATACAACCCAGCCTACCGGTCAATTTGGCAAAGGCCTCGATCTTTCGCTTCTCCCTCACCACCGCACCCTCCACACAATTTCAAATTCTTCATTTTTTTAAGCAATCTTAACTCGAAAAACCAACCCTATTTTCTGCTTGCATCTTACCACACAACCACATCAAGGGCTCAAAAACAGTTTCAAAAGATGTAAGTAGTCTCTAGATTGGACGATACAGTAACCTGATATATAGGACATTAGTGGTAGCTGGTCTGAGCCGGAAGCATGACCGAACTGCATGTGGCTGCCTACCATGGGAGTTGTGAGCTCATTTCCCGTCTCCTCGACGAAGGTGCCGCCATCGATCTGTTCGAATCGAGATACGCAACACCCTTCTGTGCAGCAAGCGTGAATGGTCACACATCAGCCATAGAACCGTTGGTCGAACGGGGTGCCGATGTCAATACACGTTTTCCACAGGGTACTACAGCACTGTTTTCCAGGCGGCGCTATCTGCACAAATCGGAGCAATGGCACTGCTTTTGAGACATGGAGCAAACATCGAAGAGGAGAACAGTTTTGGGCGCACTCCTTTGATCGAAGTCATCATGTCTGAAAAGCATGCCGCAGCAGAATTTCTGACCAACAACGGTGCTGATCCGAACCATATCGCAAGCGATGGAACGCACCCTTTACACTTTGCCATTAACGCCAACCTAGAAGTGTTCCGGATTCTCCTTCAACATGGTGCAAATGCCCGCGACGTTTACACCGCAGGACTCGCAGTTCTCCATATCGCAACAGCACGTTGGATCCCCGCTATGGTGCGTCTTGTACTTGAACATCTCCAACCAGATATCACGCAACCTTGTCTCGAGATAGACATGGTAAGCGAGAGCGGCCAAACTCCGCTTCATGTCGCTGCACGAATGGACAAGTTGGAAATGGCCAAAGTTCTGGTCGAAGCAGGTGCGGATCTCAATCTTGAAGATAAACAATGGCAAACGCCAATTCGTGCTGCTGAAAAAGGTGGACACAACGAGATCCAACAGCTGTTAATGGGGCATGGGGCGAAAGTGCAATCTTATCTTCGTGAGGTCATCATCGTGTTGGAGAATAATCTTACCCTGAAGATAAGTGTTAAGCCGCAAGGGGATAAGAAGGAGGCATTGACTGATAATAAAGTGAGAGAATTAGTCCAGCGGATGGAGTTTCCATTTTCATTACGGGAAGTAATATTCCTAGACTAATAACCTTATTGGCGACATCTTATCTTATAGAAGCTGTAAAGCTTTTTACTAATTCTCTTTTAAAATTCTTCTATAAAAGAGTTTAATAACGTCTCTTTTCTAGTTTATATTATATTATCGTTAGTAATAATCGTAAAATACGTGTAGATTAATGCATCTACGACAAGAAAGAGTTGCTCTAGAGCGAGTTCTTATCTTCTACCAATAACTAAGCCATCTACGTATTATCTACAGCATAATTACATTAAAAAAAATAATAAAAGCGGACTCCTATTGTTGATTACTGCTACAGTTGAATTTGACACTATTTAAGCGCTAGGAGTTCTATGAGACGGCGCTGACTGAAGGTACGTTGAAGTTCTTCAGTCTTTCGTTTATTCCTCCCTATTATCAAAGATCTTCTCGAGGCCTAAAGAACGCAAGCTTTGAAAATTTCATCTAAAGACTTGGGTGCGAGCTGGCTGATTGCTGAGATAAGCTATCCTTGCAAGTCTACTGCTGACGCCTCCGATCGCGACCGATGATTGGCGCAAGAATCGCCCCATTATTGACATTCTAATGTTGCCCCGCATCTGTAAAAGATAACAAATTGCGCTGAAAATGGACTAGTGCTGATCCGCATGTGGGTCGGGTGAAACTCCTTGTTTACAGCGCTTTGCAGAGTAGTTTGTTAAAAAGAGGGGGGCGCAATGGGACAGGACCGACCGCGCGCACGAGCCTTTCCCGCCAGATCGAGCCACTACACGATAGATAATTGTTACGAATAGTCTTGCTTACTGCAACGTTGTCTGGCGTCTGACAATGATACGGAAAGGCCCATCTGAGAAGCAGAACAATCGACGATTCGTGCTCCCTCAGGGCGCAGTCAGGCAGCAATGTTACACAACATGTGGCGCAACCCGAAAGCCACAGCTAGGCAGCAGGATTGCACATTATCACCGCGACGTACTGCAATCGCTGGCGGGGTTTATCCCTGCCTGTACACACGTCCCGCTTTTTCTTAGGTAAAGGGCGAAGCTAACGCAGAGGAAGAACCAGAACATCGCCTCCAGCTGCGCTTATCTTCGGAGTGGCAAGGCTGGCCGACACAGCCAACTGCGAGTTCCATTCTAACAGTGCATGCTACGTATTTGCTCCAGCCGCATCGGCCATGCCATGGCGCCTATCATTGGCGAATTGAGACCGTCCAACTGACCGTTGCAGCGAGGTACGTCAACGCAAAAGACGTAGATACGTGATACTTTTGGTCTCGTAATGTTTTGATATAAATATATCGAGTACTGCGTGTAACAAGTCCTATAATAAAACCTTTAAGTACTAGGTTCGACGAAAGATGAAAATTGCGGAGCGAACGTGGACCAATAAAAATAAAGGTAGGGATATGCAGCGCTTTTTAACGATTGATCCCCCACTCCAACAGCCTTGCAGATGTCTCGACCGCAGCTCCACACAGCAGGAAACAGCACTGCTTGCATTCGACCGCCCCTCAGTTCTACCGACCGCGAGCCACATGACCGAGTTTGAGCAATTTTCTTTCACGGAAAGGAGCGCGGGTACAGTTGGACCCGCCCAGCTTCAAGGACCCAGGCCACACAACCAGCTCATTCCGCTATTATCTGTGGCTCAGCAATACGATGTGGACCTCCTTTCCATCACATGGCAACCCGCTCGTGGAGCGCTAGGCAGGGGCGCTGAAGCTGAAGTGAATCAATCCGAAGTTCAGCTGAACATCAACCTGGCATTCAAGAATATGTCACTGCTTTCAAAAGCGTCAATCAGCGAGAAGGGAAAAAGTATTGAAGATATGAAGAGGGAGATCAGCATCCTTTACCAACCATTGGTACATGAGTCTCCCAACATCATTGACCTCGAAGGTATAAGCTGGCGCATTGAGGAAACCAAGGCGTGGCCGGTCTTTGTCTACAAAAGAGGGATAATGCTATCGGACTTTCTCGCAGAGCGCGCAAAGAAAAATCCCTTGTCCATGGATGAGAAGCTTGACCTCTGCACGGGCATTTGCGCTGGGCTTGAGGTGCTCCATAGATCAGGTGAGTGTCCGAAACCCAACACGCATGCAAAATTTGGTCTGACCACGGCGGTAGGAATTGTCCATGCCGACCTCAAACCCGAGAACATCATTGCCGTGCCGGAGGACAGGAATCAGGTTGTTCCAAAGATTTCCGACTTTTCTTTGTCCGTCATTGGTCGCGATACGGATGTAGTCAACAACCTGCCTCGGTCACCTCCTTGGAACGCTCCAAACCACCATTTCCGAGATTGGCAGATCCAACACGCAAGAAATCTTGACGTGTTCTCTCTCGGGTTAATTTGTTTCTGGATCCTCTCTTTTGATCAGCGCTTCGCCCATCTCTCGCGCCCCGACGCTCTTACGGAAGTGCGGCGTGTGAATAGCGGAGAGCCAAACAATGCAGCCACTGAGGCTTGCCGTCTGATAGACGACCTAGAGCTTGAACCTAACCAACGTTTAGCATTACGACAGTTTTTTCAACGAGCTTTGGCGTCCGACACTAAAGAAAGAGCAAAAAGCGCAGTCGATCTGTTGCCGACCCTGGCACTAGCATCTAATGCCGCCGTGGCTGAGCTGCCCCGGGAATCCCATGCAGTCGTCGTGGAGGAGACGTGCTCCTTTCAGCTGAGTGGATGCATCATTCAACTCACCGCTTTAGATTTTCGAGTCCGGGAGCGCGTGTTTGAAGAGCTTGTGTCCATGACAAAGTCAGACTGTGACGTCTGCCGAATCAATTGTGCACAACAGGCCGCTCTCTGCTGCGAGCTCGCACTGGGAACCGAGAGGGACTTGACTGCCCGGGACACCTTCTTGGCTCTTGGTGGCAAGGATAAAACTGTGTACGAGGCTATCGTCGCTGGGATGAAAGAGCCGCACCAGCCATCGTCACGAAGCACGCTCCCGTATTTCCTCCGACCTGATCTTGTGCACGAGTATCAAAGAAGGAAAGAGCTAGAAGCCGCGTCCGAGCATCTGGATCGGGAGATTGGTGGGAGGAAGCTGTTTTTCATCGAGAGCCAGCACCATCCTCTCATCACCGTTCTCCAAAGCTGCCTCGCCCACGTCTGGAATGCATCTGGCAGGTTGAGTGATGCTGCGTCTCTCCAGTCAGAGATAGTCGAGTCGAACCGGCAGTACTACGGCGAAAATCACCCAGAGACTATTGGGGCACTGGCACAATTGGCCATCTTCCAGGACGATCTGGGTCATACGAAGCTGGCAATAGAAATTTGCGAGAGCGTTGTCGCCTCAAGCAGGAAAAATCTGTCCCCCGACGATCCATATCTCCTTACAGCCATGGCCAATCTCGCCAGGATCTATTTGCATGCCGGCAGATTTACAGAAGCGGAGGCTCTTCAGGAGGAGACTGTCGAAAAGCACGAAGAGCTGTTGGGGCCCGAGCATCCCAACACTATGAGATGCTGGCTTAACTTGGCTGCCATTTACGATCGTCGTCCAGTGCCAAGGGTAAAGGAGGCGAGCAGGATCACTGCGATGATTGCAAAGCGCCAAATTGAAACTCAAGGAAATATGCATCGGGATGCCCTGCTCGCGGAGACGTATTCTGCCCTTAGCGAGAAAAGTAATAGCTTGGCTACTCATGAGATATTGGCAAGGCAGACGGACCTTCACCATCAGGCTGAGTCTTTGCTCGCCGACGACGACCCCGATAGGTGGTTGATCGCTACCAACTTGGCCTCGACTCAAGCTGACCTCGGTGAATGGGACTCGGCTGAGAAGCTATTCAAAGAGGCAATCGATCATCTGGAGCTCATCCTTCCCCCTGGCCATCGGGAGATCGTCCGAGTCACGGCTTTGTTCGGCGAGAAGCACCAAAACGCGGGGCTGTTTGCTGCAGGCGAGAAGCTCCTCTACAAGGCCATGGAGCAAGACCGAGTCGCGGATCAATACTCGGACGATGGCGTGCGAGCCTTAACGGCCATCGGAATATCACGCTGGGAGCAGGGAAGGAGAGAGGATGCGAAGGACATTTTCGAGCGTGTCGTTGACATTGTGCGGAGTCAGTGGGACATTGGCATTGAGTCTCATCCTACCCGAACAGCCATGTCCTACCTTGCCGACATGTATATCGAAGACGGTGATGCAAAGAAAGGCTTGGATTTTCACGAGAGGCTAGTTCAATGGTTCATTAACGACCAAGGCCCGCACTCGTTGTTTGCCATTAGGACCCAGTCAAACATGGCCATGGCTCGGATGGAAGCTGGTTTGCCCCTCCAGCCCTCCATCGATCTCCTGACCGAACTCATCCAAAGATCCAAAGAACATTTGGGACCAAGTCATGGTATGACACGTATAATTCAGCTAAACCTCGGGGGAGTTCTGGGCAGGAATGGCGAGTACGAGAGAGCCATCGCTGTTGGAGAAGCTCTCCTAGCCTCACTTGCTGAAGACCCCGCCTCATCGTTGATAGACCCGCTGGATGCCATGCAAGATCTGGCTGTTCACTACGTGCAAGCAGGAAAGCCTCTTGAAGCCAGAGCGCTGCATGTGCGCATCTCCGAAGCGCAGAGGTCCAGTCCAGACTCCCCCTCAAAATTTCGTCAGATGCACAATTTTGCAAATCTCTGCCATGACGAGAACGATTTGGCAATGGCAATCTCTCATCAGCGCGACTTGTTGAAGAGGCAAAAGCTATACTATGGTGATGCGGATCGGGAGGCTTGGGATAGTACCTACTATCTGGCGTACTACTTGAGTGACGATCCCACACAGCTTGACGAGGCATTGGAGCTTTCCCTGGGCGCTTGGTCCTTCTTTGTCGAGACTCTGGGCTATCAACATGAGAAGACGATCAATGCCGCAGGTCTTGCCGGGTGTATTTACGCTGCAAAAGGGCAGAAAGAAGATGCACGAATCATGTACGAGAGAGAGCTGGAAGGCTCAAGAGCCATGGGGAATAGCAAGGTTGAAGAGTATGTTGAACATGCACTCAAGCATCTCGCTGCTCTAGATGAGTAAGTCGGAACAAAGGAGCTCATGTAGTGAGCTTGGAATCAATCTCAACATTGAATCAAGAACGGTCAAACCGACTCCAAAACATTGATACGAAAATTGTCATTCCCGAGAGACCCAGGCTGCAAATGACAAAGATCCACATTGCTCTGGGAACAACCAATGGTCTGCTGTCTGTGTCTGAAATACTTCGCGGAATCTGGATGAGGTCCGACGAAAATATTGCCTGCACTCGGAGTGATGTCAGCAGAGCAAGAACTATTATATTAGATACCGTTACACGCCTACCGCAATGAGATTTACGGGTAAATAAAGGGTGGCAATGAGAGCCAACCCCTTCGTGAACTTGGTATCCTCCTTGGACTTTTCAGCCAGGTGGCGAAGATGGGAAGTCTGGGTGTTCGATTGCGTGCCCAAGGATGTTATTGCCGTAGCCTGTCCGCAGAGGGCGTCAAACTTTCTGTACTCGAGGAGCTTGGACATCTGGGTAGGTTCCTGTCAGCAAAAAAACACCGTAAAATCTGATCATGTTACTGACCAACGCTGTTGTGTCTTCTGCATGTTTTTGCAGCGCCATGGCAGTCCTCGTAAATCCTCGAATAATCCTCACATGTCTCCTATTCTCCTCCTGGGTGCCGACCTTGTTGGCGTTGAGCAGACATACTATCTTTTCATGTGATATCAAGATGTGCTGGGCGAGACGGAGCGTGTTAATGATTTGGTGCAACCGTTGGCAGTCTGGGAATCCTGTGGTGTAGTCTACGCCTTTCGCCATTGCGGCTGAGAACTCCGCCTTTTCGCTCTGCAAAAGCATTCAGTATTTGGCAAGTACTGCGGGAGGGCGATGGCGCACGTATTGGTTTATTAATTGCCTTTTGTGGTCCAAGTACCTCCGCCAAGATGGGAGCACCAATCCGACAGCGAGCATGTGCATCACGTGCGGAATGCCGTTGGAGTTTGACTGGGAAAATAGGTCAAGGAGCGCTTCCCTGCAACGATTGAAGGGTTTTATCAAGATCCATGTCGACAATTGTGTTTTTGAGTTATAGCGGTGGTAGATTAACATTTGCCTCAGCGACCATGGATCTCTCAGGGTGGCTCGTCCATGCTTTTCGTATGCTCGAATAAGATAGCATGCCTCTTTTTCTATTAGCTCTCATAGATCATTGAAATTTATGTAGACGTACCATAGCCATTACTTTGGGGGGCTTGAGACGTCTTTAGGTCCCCCAGATTGTAATACGCGTCGTCTTCGCCCGTCACCTTCATTCCAAAAGCATGTAATGCTTCAAAGAATACGGGTGATACATTATGAGCAATGCATAGTTTCCGTATCGCATCCATTGACGTCTGAAGACGACTCCACGAGTTTTTTTGATGGATGATACTAGACAAGTCAACTCCATACGTCGATCACTTGCAAGGGTACTCACTATACAACATCTTTTGAAGTTTCAATTCGATCCTGAGACAAGCCAAAGACATCAGTACTCGAAGCCTTCCTGGTTCCCGGGTTAAGGCCTACCTCATCCATACTGGATATGGTGACTGGAAAATCGTTAGTAATTCTTGGTACTGGCTCATAAAACTCCTTAATACCTTGACCATTCTCTTCTCGCGTCCATGACTCGATGTCTCCGCCGCCAGAAAATATCCGGGAAGCTTCCGTCTCCAGGTCAAGGCAGGATTCATGTAGACTGAACCGATCGTATGTATCCAGGGGAAACTGGTTCACGTAAGGCAGCCATTCTGATGATAAAAGAGGTCTTGCCATGGTTCAGTGGAGAGTAGAAGACGCTACCGCAAGCGTCCTGGCCTTATACCTTTCATTGCTGCGAGCGTGGCGGTGAAGCCTTCGACTTGACGCACCCGATCGGGGCTGTGTTAGTACGCTGCAGATACGGCGTTCAGGACCCTGTGCTGCGATTGGCCGGGATGCAAGTAGACGCTTTCGACCGTCACAACAAGGCTGTCCATGCAGCTCGCCAATCGGATCCATGTCTCGCAATCCGCCACGTATGCATGTCGCACTCCACTCAGCTGAACGCAACGCCGCGAGGCTGCGGGGGTTTCTGACTGGACTCTGTCGTTCCCTATCGAAAGACAAAATCCAAGCTCCCACACCGGTCGTATCCGCTCCAGGATCTGGCTACAGTCTGCCGCCACCATGGATATTTTGCAGCAGCTACGCTGCCGAATCAGAGCGGCCAAAGTCGATGCGGCTGGACAGGTCGGGCGATGTTTTATTCCCGAGGGCTCCATTGAAGGACTTCTGCCGCGGGATGACATTGCCACAGCCTTGCAGAAAGAGGACTTTCAGATACCCTTCCACAAGCGCCAGACAACCGCTGATCTAATCGTCGAGGAAGGAAGACTGATATTTGCAATACTGCTGGAAACGAACCTGGAATTTAAGCTTCCGCACCTTCTCGAGCAACGGGTAACGGACAAGCGGTTACCCCTTGACGAGTCACGCTCACGCCAAATCTTCGAAGAAAACGCCTCGCACTTCTTCAATAACCAATGGTCCTTCCTGCCATATAAATTTCGCAGATTTGCATTCCACAACCAACTCCAAAAAGAAGAAGTGTTACCATACATTGAGGAGAATCAAATTGGCGGGGGTGGATTCTCCACCGTCTATAAAGTACGGATCCATCCTAAACAAGATGAGCTGCATGAGTCTTCTCCAGCGGTATGTCGAGCGCACACATGTAAAAGAACCATATTAACTGTACGGCATAGAGCGGCTACCGTATTCGGAAGAGGCTTGATGTTCGCAGCATCAAGGGCCCAAAAATCGAAGAATCCGAACTGCTCTTTTTGCTCGGGGCGCTCGAGCACAGGAACATCGTCAAGCTCCTCGCCGCATACACACAAGACGGTACCCCGAGCTTGATCTTTGAGCCAGCCGATTGCGATCTTCGTGACCTTTTGAAAATGGAACGCAGACTTCCCGTATTTGCCCAAGATTCCTCGATCTTCAAAGCTCTGCACGGGCTTGCCAGCGGCATAAAGCACCTCCACAACTTTAGTCTGATCTCAATGATGCAGCAATCTCCATCGGACATGCCCCCTCGAAAGGGATGTCATTACGACTTAAAACCAGCCAATGTCCTCGTCCGTGGGGCCGACTTTGTCCTAGCCGATTTCGGCCTTTCAAGGCTCAAGCCGCTTGACGAAGACTCAAAAACCCCGTTCCGCGGAGCAACGCGAGAATACGGCGCGCCCGAATGCGAGGACCCCGAAACATTTGAGAAGGGAATGATCGGGCGAGCCTCGGATATCTGGTCTCTCGCATGTATCATGCTGGAGGTCTTGACGTACGTGGAGAAGGGATCAAAGGGCGTCGAGTGCTTCCGAGGCGCGCGAGTGTATCAGGGGACATACGGGAAGCTCTCCGCCTTCCACAAAGACAGGCAGGAACATCCTGCTGCCGAGGAGCAAGTTACGCTGCTTCGCACCACCTCGGGTCGTGAGCCGCCCTTGTTGGACACGTATTCGTTTCTACGAAACATGCTCTCCCTCGACCCAGAGGCCAGACCGCTAGCCGAGGCTGTCCAGATGCAGCTGTCCAAAGCCGCGTTGCAGGTAATACTGGGCGAGATCTTACAGATCTTAAGTGATCACGTTGAGACTTCCAGGAATCCGGAACATACGTGGGTATTCCGAGCCAGACTACAACTCGAGCTGAACCGTCTTCGTGCATGGAGCGGCACGGGTGGACTGCTTCGACTTGAAACGGGATTTGAGCACACACAGCGTATCGAAATCAGCCAGTTCGAGGACGTTTTTGCCTATTTCAAGACGACGATTGCGGCACTGCCTCGCGCTGAAGGATCATCGGCCTCGAAAAGTATGCTTCAAGACCGGGAAGACTGTGTTATTGCATCCCTGTACCAGCTCAACAACCACCTCTATACTGTATTGTCAAACGAGCAAAAGATCATGGCAGACTCTCTATTTGCCAGCCTGATCACCGCGACCGACGACAACAATGTTTTAGTCGGTATCAAGAACGCAGCGGGCCACACGTCCACGCCTCAGTACGAGAATGCCGGAGCCTTGGCCGCAATGAAGTACATGGCCATCCTCTACTCCAAAGGCCAGGATGTGCCTGGTCCAACCGCCAGACTCGATCCCGCTCTCTTCACGCCAGATGGGGACTCAGATGCCGAGCATATCCGGCCTCGACCGTATTGGTACGATTACGACCTCGGGCAGAGAAGAAAGGTGCACGTGGAGCTTATCGGCTACGGAAAGAAGTGGACAAAGGACGTCAACAGCGAGGACTTCAAGCGCAACGGCGAAGCCATCTTTTCCCGCATCCAAAAACTTGCTGCCTTGATGAGGGACAATCCTCGTCCAGAGGAATTTTGCGCATTGAAGTGCATCGGCGCCTACCACAACGCACAGGATAGATGCTTTGGCATTGTGCACGAGGTTCCACAGCAGAATCAGTATTCTGTGCGACTCCGCCACCTGCTTAAAGACCGCAAGGCCAAGGTGCGCGCACGCCAGCCTGACATGGACGAGAAGTGCCGTCTGGCGTACAAGCTCGTGTCGTCGGTCAACAAGCTCCACCTCTCAGGATGGCTTCACAAAGCCATAAACTCATCCAATGTCATCTTCGTCCACCCTTCCAGGGACTCTTGGGAAGGTCTTGGATATGATGAGCCCTACATCATTGGCTTCGATCACAGCCGTGAAGATGAGCTGAATGCCTACACAGAAGGCCCATCGGAAAACATGAAGACCGAATACCAGCACCCGCTCTACCAGTCAGGGACTGTGCCTTTCTGCAAAGCCTTCGATCGCTATTCACTGGGTCTGCTGCTTCTCGAAATCGGGCTTTGGGCTCCAATCAGCATGATCTACTCTGAGCGCAGCGAGGCTTCTCCAGACGACCTCAGCAAGACATATATGCGGTATTGCGAAGAGAAGCTACCGAAAATGATGCCGAAGAAGTACAGCAATGCCGCGAGGAAGTGCCTCGCGCTCGGGTTTGAAAGAGAGAACCCGATGGAAGCGGACCAGACGTTTCACCAGCAAGTCATAGGGAACCTTGCCGCCCTTCTAGACTAGCCGCACTAATCAACAAATCTCTCAGTTCCGCCCGTTCACTGTTGGGTTTGGAATGATTGTTGTTCGTCCTGGATTTTGGGTCAATCATGCATTTCCTTCTATAATACAGGATTCTTGCTCTTACGCTCGTCAGAAGCCGTGGGATATTTAAGATAATATTGTCATCAACACGCTTTATAATGGTCAGTTGCGGAGATGTAGAATGCGTGTCTTCGAGGAATCCCTACGTCAAAGGAAAAGTTCCTCGCCCCAAACAGTTGCGTGAGAAGAGCGACCATCTTTGCCATGTCAATGTACCTTGCATCCAACTTTTGTGGGACCGCCATAGTGAATGCAAGGGTCTTTTTCGTTGACGCGTTTGGAGAATGCGAGGTTGACTAGTAAGTAAGGTTGATGATGGCTGGAATAAAGGCTGCGTAACAGGAATAGAGAATGCGGAGCGACTGCTTATATGCATGCTTAATAAATATATTAGCTAAGCATACTAGCAATTTTAATAGGGCTTCTAAATGGAATGCGTTGCGGCCTAATGTCTCACCCACCCGATAGAACCGATTAGTTGACGCGTGGCCTTTTATCTGCCTGATTATGCACGAAAGTGGGGCAACACCAAGGCTGAGATTCCATTTCGGCTAGGCTTGGGTAGTATATGCAAGATAGTAAAGGTGGTGGTAACATCGCTAAAAAGCGGGGTTGACTAGGGCTTTCCTTTGCACCGGCTTGAAAGATTAATCTACCGGCGAGGCTGCCTATCAGCCATAGGGCTTTGAGCATTTAATGAATTCGATTTATTGTGTTCAAAGTATTTGCCGATGGTGGTTCTGTCCTTGGGGATTTCTGTTCCGCCGAGCAAGTCGGCGTAGAATTTGTCGGCTTTATCGCCGTCTAGAGTCTGGTAGACGCCGTGCTGGTATCTGTTGTCCAGGATGTAGCCACGCTTGGAGTAGCCTGGCGGGCAAGCTGGCTTCATCCGAGTTGAGCACCTGTTCAGAATGCAGCCTGTCCCGTTCAGCGGTGATATGAAGGCCGTCATAGCGTCAGGTGCTGCTAATCGTCGGGGCCCAGCAGTGACCCACTATTTCGGTTATGTAACAGTCACCGCTAAAGTAGTTGGTACAAGGGTCTCCGACGTCTTTTCCGTTCTGACTCTTGCAGCCGAAGCAGCATAGCGAAAGCTCGCTGACGACGCAGGAGAAATAGTCATTGCCGTTCCTGTTGATTGAACCACGCATGACCTTGCCCGCGCTCTCTGCGGCGACATTGGCGTACATCTTAAAATCCTTGTCATATGCATTGTTCCTGCCGTGCGGAGCTGGTAAGAACCTGCGTGAAGTGTGTTGCGGATGTCAATGCTTTCATCATGTCCGAATAGTCCCTCGCCACGTTGTTCAGCTCGACGAAAAGCGCCTACATCATGTAGACAGCCTTGAAACTGTTTAGAGTGGAGCCATCAGCAACATTGAGGGAGTCTAGGTCGGGAAAGGTAGCATCGCACTCTGGCAGCGTGCCGGCGTCTGGCAGGAATTCGTCATCATCATCGTCCTTTGGATCCTGGTCATCGTCTCCGAAGCATACCAGGTTATCCGCCCAGTCCATGGTGCCCAAGAGATTGAGAGCGTCTTATTTGTCCGTTCTCCAGGTCGTGCTATTTTCTTCCATGTACGCGACCCACTGGTCATCTCCGTAGATCAAGACATTGGAGCTGCCCTCCTTGTTGTACCATGCTTTAACAATGAGCTTGCTCTCAGAGTTTCTCATGTATCCCGGTGTGCGACTGCAATGTCCCGGTGTCGCCGCGTGTCGCCGGGGAGTCGGGGCTTACAAACAAACAGTTTGGTCCCGTACAGCCGCTCTGCATCATGCGGAACGATCGGCCGTACAACTGAATACCGACGGGAATCTTGTTGGATGGGACACTGGCCCTGGTGGTCATCGCGAGCGCGTATACGGTCTCAGTCAAGTTGACGTGACTGCGTAGACAGTTGCAAGCTGGACAGCCGTCCTGGTTGAACCCGTTGCCGCGGTCTCACTGGCCGTGGAGGTCATAAGACATGTGGACGATGTAATCCAGGACTTTGGATATTTTGACGACAGCTTATTTAGATACCAACATGACGCCGGAGCTGCAATCGAGAGGGTCTTGTCTAAGTGTAGCTGAGAGCGGACCTACTTGAGGAAGACGAGATCATTGAGTGCATCGGACGTCTGGCCAGGCAGAATGCCCGGAATACCAGGAGCTCCCAGGTATTCCCAGTCAAAATCTAGACCGCCCATGGTGTTTTTGTTCACGACCTTGACGGCATTGGTGGCGAACTGGTCGGCATTGGGCGGGTTCATAGGTTGGCGAAGCACGTCGTAGTCCACGAGTTGGTGCCTAAACCCTAACAGCCTCAGAAAGACAGTTGTGTGAAATCAGTCACGGATTCATTGGAAGTTCAGGGATGTTCGAACAGAGTACGAGGTCGCTGAGTGGCTACAGCAAGCCAGACTCTAGGTCGGGCGTATGCTGCAGCTACATAAGAAATGACATTCGGAAGCTTAGCCCAGCTACGAGCCTCTGACCACTGTCCACAGATTGGGGCATCCAACTTTTGCGGGACCGCCATGGTGAAAGAAAGGGTCCTGTTTATCAATCAGTTTGGGGTCTCGGAAAGGCGGTTAGCGGCTTCGCCTCTCGCAACCGTTCCCCTGCACGCCCACCTGCTCCGCCTCCATCTCTGCCAGCGCTTGTCGTCCATTCTCACCTACTTTCTCTTCGCCTCGATCACTGCAACACCGCCGCGTGTCCCCTTCCCCTCCTGCAGCCGGCCGCCGCCGCTCCCGCTCCTCCTCCTCCTCCCACCACGTCGACAGCACGGCAGCGCTCTTCGCCGACCGACGCCATCGCCCTTGCCCGCCTCGAGCGACTGCCTCCCCTTCCGTCGCGGTGGTGTATTTCGAGTTGGCGGAGGCGCACTTGGGGTCGTGGAATGGCTTTGCTGGCGCGTTGGCGGTCGCCGAGAGAGTGGCGCAGCGGTGCTCGGCGAGGAGGGAGGGGACTGCGGCGAGGCCGGGGTGCGGAGCGTGGTGGATGGTGGATGGCGAGGTGAAGTGAGGTCAGGTGGAGTTTTTGGATTTCTATAAGGAGCGATGGAGCGATGATAAGGAAAATACAAAAAAAACGTTCATCACAGCTAGCTAGTAGAACAGTCTTTATGCGCCACGCTCATCCTCCATATTGCATCCGCCCACGTAACTTATACTTTTTATTGTCCCGCCAGTCCCCGTTTTCTTATCCTTGAACCCCACGGCTATCATTCCTATCTTGGTCTCGTCGTTCACAGAAGAGACGGGGAGACTACTTATTACGAAATCTCCCGTCGCAGCCTCCTCTGTCGTCCTAGTAGAGTCATGTCAGTATCTATCTCTATATAAATAGAGTCAGAAAACAACAACTGAAAGACTAACCTTAATTGTCTTCACAGCATTGGTTTGCGTCCGATTTCGTCTTACACGGACAGTAGCCCCCAGGGGTAGAAAACCAGCAGTTGTTCGTATTGCAAGCCGGTCGTTCAGGAGCCGCTGCTTGAGCGCAGCATAGCTGTTCGCTGATCGACACACAGGCGCATACACCGCCTGGGGTGTAGGGATAGCATGGCTCCACGCATTGCTGATTCTGGCGCAGTTCGATCCGATGTGCGACTTCGAGAGTATCGTAGGGAAACTGTGTAACTATGTCGTTTTGGATCAAGTTTTTGTCGTCGTTGTTTGGCTCAGGGTAGGAAGGAAGACCGGTAGGACGGGTGCACCCAGCGGCGCATAACGTAATAAACGAGAAGATGGAAAAGATGAGAAAGCGAATCATAGCTGGTGCGTAGTAAATGTTCGTTGTCGAGAGAGGAGAGGAGGGTGATACGAAAATCTAATTTTTTGGAATATACTCCATGCTTCTCTTATACTATGTAGATCTTCATCGTATATAATCTCGGTAACTAACAGAAACCTCGGAAATAAACTTTAATATTAATAGAAATCGTGTGAGAAAACCTTAATAGTAGGCTCGAGACTAAGAAAGCCTAAATATAAATAGAGAAGGTTGTTGGTCACAGTGAAACAAGGGTATAGCCAGCTCCGTGCTGTCGAACTCAATCGGCCTCAGCATGCTGAGGGTGAATGCGTCTAGCGGGATGGTTGCGACAAGGAACGAGAGCGCTGCCGAACGCACCTTCGATCGCGTTGCGCCTCAGCCCATCCTCGTCGCTTACACCTTCTGACAGGCTGGAATCAAATCTCCCTCTCCGGACTGACCGTCGCTTTCCTTCTGCTGAGCTTCTCCTTCTCCTCTGACCCTCCTGCCCTTCATCTATTGCATCAGATAGAAACATTTTCTGATCCTTCTATGGCCATTTGGAAAGCACGGCCGTCGTCATACTGTTGGAAGTGTATCGGGGCGACAGAAGCTCGAGAGGTATGGGTGGACATCGACTGTGCTCGTATTCGGACGCAAAACGAAACGACAGATGACCTACAAAACGAGTGCAGCGCTCCTGATTGAGGACGCCGCGCCGTTGCGTTGGCTTAAAGCATGCGGCGGCTCTCCACGGAGCTCCGCCGCTGCGTTATTCGCTGAGGCCATACCAGGGAGGTTTCTCCAGTTGCTTGGCGTATTCCTCTGCGATGTGGTGCAAGACTGCCTGCCTACCGCTTGGCAAAGTATAGTATCACCCTGATGAGAACCACCATGGCGTTGCTCATCGGCTCGCCCCAAACCCGCCGCGCCTGCTTTAGAGGCCATCGCAGCCTTCACCACCGGCACCAGCACTTGCTCCTCGTCTTCGCCCACCAACACCTTATAGCAGGTGGGGCACGAGTCCGCCAGCTCGCCCATGTCCGCCAGCTCGCCCATGTCCACCAGCTGCCACTGGGCCGCCGCCTTCAGCTGCTAGCCCTGCTACTCCGTCACCCCCTCGCCGCACCTGTCGCACATCGGCGTTTTGAAACGGCAGAATCCCTCACCCCTGCCTTGACCGGAGGCCCCTCTCCACCGAGAGTCGGCTTCTTTTAGCATTCCCGACGGGATGGATGAGATTTAGCGTTGGACTTCCACTGCTAAAGCGCAGTTTCGAGACAAGTACAGTGCCTCCATTCAGGCACTGGCCGACTTATGCGTGGTTCTGCATTTCTACCGCGGAGACGCCATCAGGCTCTGCAATGGAGTTTAGACACGAAACCCGCAAATCTCAGAATTACCGGCCCATTTCGACCGTATACAAAGACCTCTAAACCGTAGTCCCTCTTTAGTCTCTCTAAGACTAGAAGAAATCTTTCGAGGTCATCGAAATTTCCAATTTTCTCGACCACGTTGCCGTTCTAAGATTCCTTTCAGCGGCTGTCTCTCTCCCCCCCTCGAAGTCTATATTTTATCATGTACACTAAGCGCCTACTCGGAGCTTTGAGAAACCCATGACCTCCGGGGCAGATTCTGTGCGCTGAAGTCAAGACAATGACAATCTTCTGGTGATTTCTCCAGTGCCATATCTGATTGGAATCAATGTCGACAGCCACATGTCAAGGTACTTCATAGTCGGCTCCAGACCGTTTCGATAACGCCGTCCTAAGAAATGACATTCGGTAGCCTAGGCCAGCTACGAGCCTCTAACCACGGTCCATAGATTAGAGCACCGCCATGGTAAAAGAAAGGGTCTTGTTTGTCAATCATTTTGGGGTCTCAGAAAGGCGGTTAGCGGTACGTGTTATTACGTAAGGCTTAACCATTCACCGCCTACTGTGCAAGAATAAAATTTTTCTTCAGGGCGCCGGCTTATAATACGACGGCTACATTTGATACCGACTGCAACCAACAAAGAACGCACAAACCAACATCAGGCGCTTGCACGGAAGTACTATCTGACGATCTAAGATGGCCTCCTCCGATTTGTCAGTCCTACCCATTCAGAGGCCGTTGTTTAACTTCGCTACGATGCCGCCGTCGCTTTCAGAGACCTGCGACCCTGAGGGCGACATCCGCCTTACCGCTCCTTTGACTATTCTCGGTGTCAAGCAGCAAAAGACCTTCGTTGTCTCTTCAAAGGCCATGCGGCTCGCTTGTGATGTTTGGAACAGGATGCTAGCGCCGGACAGCCCCTTCTTGGAAGCCAGGGAGGTCGGCCATGGCAAGCTATCCTTTCCGGAAGATGATGCAGCGCCGTTAGCGATACTACTGCACATAGCACACCTGAACTTCGACAAGGTTTCCCATTACATATCCTTTCAACAGCTTCTCGATCTCGCAGTTCTAACGGATAAGTACGGCGCTACTAAGCTTGTACGGCCGTGGATTAAGTCTTGGATCGCCGTTGTGCAGCATCTACTACTACAACCCGCACATGAAGAGTGGCTGTGGATTGCCTGGGAGTTTGGCCAAAGCAGATCATTTCGACAGTTGGCAGTTCATCTAGTCCAGGAGGTGAAAAGGACCGCGGATGGCCACTGCGTGACGCAGAAGGGGAGAATCCTTGATCCATCAGCCGATAACTGCCGCCTGCCTCCAGACATCATCGGTACGTCTAAGATTCGCACAATCACGACCGCCATAGCTTACCCGTTCGCCAGAGAGCATTATGGAAATCCGACTGAAGGTAATTCAAAGTTTGTTCGACATATACCAAGATTCTATTACCAAATTTACGAGCGCCCGGGCATCTGATATCAGGGGAACCCTCTGTCTCAACTCCAGCGAAGACTTGGATGGCCGCCGAAGATGTGACGCTCTCACGTTTGGGTCGCTCACACTCTCTCTACGCCAGGCCGGATTGAGCGTTGAGAGTAGCTGGGTAAATAATGAAGACTGTAGCGTCAGGGAGCTTTCGCAGAAGCTTCTGGCCATCCAACTGGTCGCGTGTAAACATAAGGGCTATAGCTCTGAGTGCGCAAACTCATCCCTTGGAACGGAGCTACGACAATCGGTTGAGAAGGTGTTCGCCAATATTCCCTCCCCCGTTAAAGATTCGCACATTCGTCACATTTCACGTCAGATGGCGGCGTGTGGAGCAGTCTAAACGTGAAGAACCCCCTGCCCGACAGGACACCTGGAACCAAAGAAGTCGCCTATCCCTTGCATTAGGCATACTCACCGGAGTCACTATCGACAGCCACATGTCAAGGTACTCTTTGGTCGGCTCCACACCGTTTGGCTTAACAACGTCCGAATATCCTTTTTGCATTTCCATATTATACTTTCTCTAAGAGCTATCTCGCACTAAAAAATGCTTCTCTCCCTAGATTTCTTATTAGCCGCAACTTGAGCGTATACCATTTCATAAACGAGAGCTGGAGTTGCTTCTTACACGTCTTCCGTGGCTTTATTTACTTGTTATGCCCCCATGTATCTCGCTTGTTCGGCTGAATTAAATCATAAATTAAAGTGTTTCTTGCTTGCTTGGTTGCGTATCTACTTAGGTGCCAGTCTGAAACTTTATAGAACAATTTGCTAAGCCGAGAAAAACGAAGGTTTTTTCAACAATGGACAGCGGAGTTGAATGAGCCTCGCGTCCATCAGCAGCCCATTCGAACTGTACGTCTCGCAGTCTTCGCGACGCCCCGCATGTGCAAGTACCCAAAAAGTCTTGTGAACCCTTTGATAGCTACTCGAAGTTGCTGACTTAGCAGTAAGGCATAGGTGGCGGGTACACAGCGAGCTCTTGCGGGCAGACAAGCTCTTCCAGAGCGCCTTCATGCTGCCCACCGCCTGCGTCTGCGCCTGCACCGCCGCCGCTGCTGCTGTTGCTTGCTCGTCATTGCGGCTCATGGTGCTGCGCAGCCAGGCGGAGGCAGTAGCGGCGTGATCGTAACGGTCGTAGGTGAGAGTAGGATTTCCCAAATGGATGTGTGCGCGCTGAAGAAGGCGTCGAGGCGTAGCGGCCCGTGGATGATGATAAGAAGGAGCCCGTTGTACCCTACGGTGGATTCTGGCTGTTGCTGCTGTTGCTGATCGGGAGCGGGACGGGTGATGGTGAAGGTGGGGGGGAGGTGGGGGCGGAGATTCCGGGATGAAGGCCAATGCGGCGAGTGATGTCCCACTGCAATGCGCATCAGGCGGCTGCCAGCTGCGGTAAAGACTTCCTCAACATGATGTTACTGCGGCTGTGATGGCGGTTTTCGTTGACCTCCGCGAAGGTAAAGCGGCACTAGGCCCGCCCCACTGACTGACGTGTGCGGCACGGCAATCTGCATAGTCGTGTTACATCGCGATTGGCTTCCCAAAGTACCAATACCCAATCTTGAAGACAATTTCTTGTGAATTCAGCTAGTAGAGAGATTATAAAACTACTGCGCGATACTTTCTATATCTCTTTTGCCAGCAGACATGTCTTCGTAATGGACATCAAATACCCCGAACCCCACACCGCTTTGGAACAACCGGACGCCCTGAGAGGTGCTCTTGAGAAGCTCAAAAGCAATTCAAATGCCGATCCTGTTTTTGAGTGCTACGCATTCGAGGACGACAGATGGAGGTTTCCCCCTGGATCTCGGTGCCATAAGGAGTGCACTCTTCCTCTCCACGAAGCCAACTACGGCTTGAATCTCCTTAGACAGGCAACTACCCCATACACTGCACGACAAGCGACAACCTTCATCCGTCTCCTACTCTGCAGCCGTCACTATGAGCAAACACAATTCTTTTTGAGTCTACTCATAAGCCTGACGGAGCTCGATGACCAAAAGGAGATCTCGAAGGCACATGTCAACGACATCTTTCTCTTTCAGTTCTCATCCTCCCTGGCCCTACGCCACAAGGCCCCAATGAAGCGGCATGATTCGCTTGTGCCCGAATCCTCTTTGCGTCCTTCCGCAGCACCTGCCCCGGCCATCGAACTTAAAGTATCTACACCTCAGCCCAGTGGGCTGTACGCCAACCTGGAGTTTCCCTCTGCTAGGTCGGAGGTCCTTTATCACACGGAACTCCGATGCATTGGATTCATCACAGAGTACATGCGCTGCCCGTGCATCATCGCAGGTTCGGCCAGAACCACGGCTCAGCAAGCTCTGACGTCGTACGTCGAAAAGCCGCAAATAGGCATCCTGCAGCCTCTCCTCCAGAACATGCTTTGCCCCACGCATAGAGGTTCTGGGCTGCTGGATGTCTATCGCGAGAAGTGGGCAAACCACTTTACCTTTGTCTACAACTTCGAGCAGCGTGTTCCACCCCTTTCCCAAAGCGATCAGCAAGTCGACAGTAGCAGGTTTCGCTTCACTTATAAGCCTCCATCTTCGCCCGTTACCTCGAAGCAACCTGCACGCAGACCGCGTATCATTAGGAATGAAACTTCAGAAAATAACTTCGGCGGTGCCAGCGGCGCTCCGAAGCTTGAGGAAGACCACGACGTCGCCAGTCACACCCCACAGTCGCTCAAAGTGGTCCCTGTGGCCGTTCCCGGTCCTGGAAGCCGCGGCGCCTTTCTGACCCCTCTGCAAACCCGATGGGCTGAAGCCCTTGCGAGCTCTTTGGATGACGAACTTGACGATCGTCCTAAAAAGGCGACTGCCGCGCAGCTCGCTAAGAGAAAGTAAGTCTCTAGCCTCATCCTCACCACTTGTTTGTTAGACAATTAGACGTGAAGCGCGTGTGCAATGGCGAGGTGGGCATACGTCTCTAAACCTTGCCTTTTCAGTTCGATAAGTTGTTAAATTTGAAATTAATGTTTTGGTATCTCAGGTTCGCGAAGCCGTCGGAGCCAACATTTCGTATGTAGAAAATGCTTAGTTAGGCATCTTTCTGAAACTTCTTATACAACGAGAATGGGATAGCTACGACACGGACAATGCACGATAGACACAGGGACGAGGGCGGATGATAGCCGCTATGATTGAACCTCGATTTCTTTTTGTGTAAGATTTTGACTTAGAGGTGAGCAGATGTATCCGTAGAAGAAATTCAACTCCGCAAAGATTTTTATTTCCAACACCTAGTAAATCGACCGCCAACGTGATGCAGGATACACTGAACTCGTGGAAAAAACTAACCAATCTTCTATATTCCCGTAGTACCGATCGACTTGGATGGTGCTCTCGAACACGTCCCAGCAGGACTGCCAGTCGTGCAAGCAGCCGTCCAAGTTGACTGTAGGTGAAGATGCCGCTGGCGTTTCCCCTATTCGTCCCGCACAGCTGCTCGCGCGCCTTCCACATCTAGTCCTTGCTCTTGCACTTCCCGCGCCATGCGTGTAGCACTCGGCCGTCGAGAGCAGCATAGGTAATATCCGTTCACTGCATCCTCAGAGGAAGAAGAACAGTATGACGCGTGGTAACTGAGCATGGGCAATTCAGACGTTCGCGGTCACTTCTACCACCAACAACTCCAGCCTGAAGGCCGAGGTCGAGTTTGTTGCTGCCCGAAAATGATCTCATGTACTCGTCCATTTATAAAAACTCCGACATATGGTGGTATATAGCGCTCAAAAAGACGGGGAAAAATAAATCATGGGTATCGTATCGCGTTGCAGCATATGCAAATGTCTACGGACAGCGCATCGAAATCATCATCTCGAATCTCCTCCTCGACGTCAACTACCTCCTGCAACGGCCAATGAAAATACCGAGGGACCTGCCGCACGTTCTTCACCGGCCGTACTGAGAGCCTGCCCACCATTCCCCAATCAATTCCTTCACTGCAGCAGTGGTGATTCTATCTGCCTCGCCCGCCAGACTGAGTCAGCACCCTCGCAACGAGAACGTCCCTCAGCCGCTCGTACTCGGCCAACAAGGCGGCCCTCGCAGGCTCCGCATCGGCGGCGGCAGCAGCGCGCGTGGCGGCATCACCCAGAGCCAAAAAGTCGTCCTGGACAGGGGGCACGGACACATCGCAGGCGCGGCGTCTCTCGCCTGCCCAGCCAGCGAGGTCAGCCATGTCGGCAACCAACCGGCGCGGATCCAGCTGTTGCTGGCCATCAGCCGCCGCCGGACGGTGGACATAGAGCAGGGCTCGGCACCAGGCGCGGCTGATGTCGAAGGCGGCGACGTTGGCGGCGTGCGCGAAGCGGCCCAGCTCCTCGAGCTTCGGACGCAGATGCGGGTGCTTGTGTGCGTTGCGCCCGGCCAGCCTCCGCGCTTCGCCGAGCAATGCCACCAGCTCGGCGAAGAGCTGTGGCGAATCATTGCCGTGTGCGTGGTCCGCTTCGCGCAGCTCGTCCGAGTCGGCGCTATGCTGCGTCATCTGTTGGGACTGGACGGCTTGTTGTCCCAAGGCCGCTAGGCGGTCGTCGTCATCGTCGCGCCTGTCGAAGAGTTGGGACCACGGCGGCTGGGGGCTGGCGATCTGCTGGGATGAATTGGGGTGTGTCTCAGGGACGCGCGGCGACGTTTGAGGGTGTTGTTGTTGTTGCTGCTCAATGGGCGGCGCTGGTGAAGACTGCGCGACTTGCACTTCGCCAGTAGTAGACGAGCTCGTCTCGTCCGCCGTGATGTGCTGCTGCTGTAGCTCCTGCTGTTGCTGCTGCAGCTCGTCCTGATGCTGTTCCAAGGCGCTAAGCCGTGGGAGCGTCTCTTGCTGATGCTGCTGTAACTCCTGCTGATGCTCTTCCAAGGCGCTGACCCGCGGGAGCATCTGATTTAGGACGCGTTGCACCTCAATTAATGCAGTGGTTTCGGGGCGAGCGCTGACGGAGCGTGTCACCGGACGAGTGTAAGAAAGCTCGGCTGGCGCAACGGAACGGGACCTTTCCATCTCTTGATGCACCTGGTCTACCCTGGTGCCGAGGTCAGACAGCTGCTGCTCGATCCGCTGCATCCAGGCTCTGTTGGGGACGGAATCTTGTTGGTTTTCATCAGTCCGCCTGCGCTTTCCCAATGCTCGTTCCGAAACGGCCGGGGTAGGTCCTGAAACAAGTATTTAGCGCTGTACTGCTGATGGTGAGGGTATACCTACGGGCATTAGGTCGCGCTGTTGAGCCCTCCGATGTGCTCGCAACGTCTGGGTACGGGGGCGGTTCATGACCGATAAATGCGCGGAGGAGCGGATTGATATCCACACCACCATCTCCGCCGTACATATCAGCAAGACAAAAGTTCTGTGGCGACGGGCGGAGGGAGCCATTTTGTGCGCGGGCACATAAGTCGTCTACGCACTCGACTGAAATCTTATTGCGAGGTAGGTAGAGCGTGAGGTTCGTCGAGAGTGAAAGAGAACGGAGAGACTGGAAAAGTCTAGATGTGTCGGCCAGTGGCTCGAGGCTTGTAGTCGCCGCATGGCCGATCACCGTTGGAGGTTGCTTGAGAAGGAATTGCAGTGCAATGACGTCGGCAGGTGATGAGCACTGCCTTGAGGAAACGAGGAACCTTACGCATTCCTGCGTTGCCTGGCTGCTATCTAACGACAAAGAGTGCAACTGCGAAACGTGTAGAGGGTCGATGGATACGTATAAGGGGTTTCTCCGGCTCGTAGACGCATTAGAGGCGATAGGTACGAACAGACGAAACAGGGCGGCTCCACTACTACGATCATAGCCAATCTTGCAGGAGAGCTGACTTGGTGAGGTCAAGAGCTCGATGTTGCCCGTCTCAGACGTCCACCGGGCACAGCAGGCGGCTCTGTCGGCTAGAAGATGAAAGCCAGGGATGTACAATGTTGTGGCCGGTGCCTGAGGGAGAGAAGCCATTCTCACGACTGAAAAGCTGCGTTAGCTACCGGATAAGCTTCGCGAGGGGTTGAAGAATATGAAAAGAAAAGTGTGCCCCCGGGCGACGCCCGGGAAACCCTCCCACCCAGGCTTTGCGAATTGTTGAAATTCTGAGCAGCCTTGGCTCCGCACTTTCGCAACAGCATGCACGTGTCTGCTCCTACTAGGTGCACGAAGCATGGCCTGCGCACGAGATCCCTCAGCGCCACTGAGAATGCAGCGAACCACGCCCCAAGACCCATCTCAGGCCCCGTGCTTGGCCCCCACATCCGCACATGACGCCGAGTTCTGTGCAGGACAGACCCCTAGCAGTTGAACAGATGTGAGATGATCTTTAGGGTGCACGAAGCATGGCCTGCTCACGAGATCCCTCCACGCCACCGAAGATGCAGCGAACCTCGCCCCAAGAGCCTTCTCAGGCCCAGTGCTTGGCCCCCGCATCCGCAAACGACGCAGAATTCTGTGCAGGACAGACCCCCCGCTGATCATCTCCCATTTAACGTGCTGCTGGGTGCACGAAGCATGGTCAGCTCACAAACCCCTCCACGCCACCGAGAATGCAGCGAACTTCGCCCCAAGAGCCATTTCGGGCCCTCTGCTAGGCCCCCACATCCGCATGTGACGTGGAAATTTGTGCAGGACAGACCCCCAGCAATAACACCTCAACGACGAAGCCCATTTGAAACACAACCTTGCCGGGTGCACCAAGCATGGCCTGCTCGCGAGATCCCCCCACGCGCCGAGGTATGGTGATCCGCGTAACAGAAGCCCTTTCAGGCCCCTGCAGACTAGAGAAACAGCCTACTCGCGGTATCCCTCCATTCCTGACAGCAACGTGGTGACTCGCGCAACGGCGACCATTTTCAGGCCCCTACAGACCCCCGGCAGGCGTTGTGTCCGTCCAGCTCACACGGCACGCCGAGCGAAAGTGCGATTGTTGCCGCTACCTACCCCGACCACCCTCCAGGCTTTTGGCAAGCAGCCTTGGCTTTGTTCGATTGCAGGACACTGACCTCGGGCCGAGAACGAGGAACGCGGGTCGGCCGCTGCGAGCTGAGAGACGAAGCCTGCACCTGTCAGCCAATGCGTCGTAATATGGGTCCCTGAGAGATGGATACTTTGCTGAGAGATTGCAAGCAGGAGAGGGATGATGGGGTCGATGGGTGATGGGGAAGGGAGGAATTGAGGTGGCTGGTGTTTCAAACGCGTTGCTTTCCCCGCTTTTGCGCACGGGCGCGCGAAACGCGTCCAGACGCGATTCCACGTGACGTAAAATCAGGCGCTGATCCGACGGGAGCCGAGCCGGGCCGGCGCGACCCGCTCCTCCCGTTTCCGCAACTGTCAGGCTAGCCCAGTATGGAATCGCATGCATTCCGCTTCCCGCCTAATTATCCGGACATCACGGCTTGCTCCTGGTGCTTTATTTTAAAGATTATTTTTTTTTAAAAAAAAGCTTTCTAAAGTATGGACTAGAAAGAAAAAGTACGTCTTACAGCCTCAGGCAAGATTATTCTGTAAGAGCAGAAACGAATAAATTGTTCTTTAATAGTGCTGTAAGATCGATAGGATAAGAAGAACGCAAATGCGATACTATAGAAACTCAAAACCTGTATCCCTAATCTACATGTTCTTTTGGGCTTTGCTCCCCGGACTTGGATCGCCGGTGACGGGGTGGTACCTTGAGTGCCGAGCTTCCCTCATGAGCAGTAGAGGCACCAGAATTCCTTGATCTGGGGCGACCTGGCTTCGTCAAGCGCGTTTGCGACTCATGTGCTGTTGGAGAGAAGGCTGTCGGGAATTGTTCGTCTTCCCCGTTGCGTGTCACGACGGTGCTGAGGGATGACTTTGGTGAATGCCGTCGTGGCCTTTCCGATTCTGATGGTACAGCTAGGAACTCGGTTGGGCCTGTTCGCGCATGGCGGCGAGACGATTCGGTGGCTTTAAAGTGCATCGAGTGGCTTGAGTTCCTTGACGTGTTGTCTGCTCTGGAGACGGGATCCGTGTCCTCAAACGAAGACTTGGGTTCCGGCATGGAAGAGTAGCCAGCCCAGCTCTGAACCTCAAAATCCTCGAACGGAGAGTCGTCATTCTCGTCCTGCTGATTTTCATCACCCGAGGATGAACAACTGGGTTGGTCGGGCACGTTTTCAGGGGCACGGCAAGCTTTATGCAATGCAATGTCCCGGTTTTGCATCGTAAGAGCAATCAATGCGTCCAAGTCGTTCTGTGTTTGCTTTTAGTTAGCATCAACCACTTTGTAATTTGCGAAATCACTCACAGTTGAGACTTCAGGACCTAAGAAAATATGCCCCTGACAAGACCGATGGTGTAGTCCGAAACGTTCAAGGGCATCCTCATCTATCCAATCGCCTCCGATCACCAGGTATTCGGAGCAATCTGCATCCTTCTCCTGTGAAGGACCTATTTGAGGACGGTATCGATGTGTAAAAAAGTCAATCTGGACAGGTGTATGGTTCACGAACCATGTTTGCCCGTACTCTGGGATTGAATTTAGCTTAAGGATGGTAAATGTGGTCTAGATGCTGTTTACCTGAAGCACGTCTATAGACTGGCTTCCATCCGCTATTCTTGATTGTCTGTAACGACTGGCTTCCTTCGTGCAGCGGAGAATTCCACAGGAATCGTGCAGGGATTCCTTGCGGTTTCATACCTCTGCTTCCCCTGCGTGGCAAGAGGCTCATTGAAGCAGAGAGGCCACACTCTCTAATCGATGTGCGAATCTCACGGAGCTGAGACTCCGACGTTGTCTGTAATGGGGGGAGGACCACCATGGCTTGGCTAGAAAGACTAGACACTCCAGCTTCATATCTGTCTTCCTCGCTCTCTTCCGATGACATCGTTCGTATGTTGCGAGACGTCCTCGGGGCCCTAAAGCGCGGGGCTGGCGGCTGAGGCTTGGTTGAGTTCCCGCTACGCTGGAAGAATGTCGAAGTCAGAAAGTCCGTAGTAGCAAACGGCTCTTTGAATCCGTTTTGGCTTTCGATTAATTCCAGCTTTCGGTCACCGTCCTGCATGCGTAATTGACGCGTTGGAGTAAATGGCTTTCCTTCGCGCTCGGTGTGAGCCGTAGCTTCTGCTTGCTCAGCTGCCTGCAAGCGTTGTCGATAGTCGTCAAGCATCTGCCGGTAATCCTCCATCTGGCGTAAATTCTGTTGCTCGGCTTTTCTTCGTGCCTTTTGAGCTGCTTCCGCTTCTGCAAGCTTCTTCGATCTCATAGCCGCCCGAGCGCTGCTCTCAGCCCGTTGTGCCGCAGCTTTAAGCCCCGAAATCTCCAGCTGCAAGGCATCTGTAGCTTGAGCGACCAGTGCAGACAATCTGCACTCGAATTCATCTTTGCGTTCCTCCTCAAGCTTCAACTGTCTTTGTCGTTCCGTCACCGCTTCCCCCTTTTCTCTTTCAATTTGCAGCTTCAAGGCAGCGATCAACTCCTCCTGGCTTCTCTGCGCCTCCTCTTCCTTCTTGCGGGAATTGAGCTCCCACAGTGTCTCCTCTATCCGCTCCTCCCTCTTTCTTCTCTCTTCCGCTTCCAGCTTAACCGATGCCTCCTTCTCTTCGGCTTTCTGTCGGGCATCGGCTTCCATCATGTCAGCCATGCGTCTCTCCATCTCTCTCAGACGCTCTGCCATCTCCCTTTCCGCCTCGGTCGGTCCAGGCGGAGGTGGTGCTGGAGCTGGAACTGGAGCTGGAGCTGGAACCGGAGCCGGCGGCTGCGCTGACGTTGGTATTCTATAGCGCCTTTGCGGACTCAAAGATCTTGTGAAGCGTCTTTGGGGTGGTAGCGATGGTTGCGAAGGCGGCGGATGAAGCATATACCGCCGATTCCAGGGCAATCCATGAGGCATCTTGTACGGCGGCTCTGCATAGGATCCAGGATACGGCGGCTCTTCATATTGCGGTTGTGGATTTGCCCAGCTGTCGTTGGTGTAGTTACTATGAAACGGGTTGGAGTATGAATCGTAGCTGTTTCCACGGGGATTCCATGCGCCGTTGTTGTTGAAATACTGCTGTCTGTGGTTGGTCCTTGGTGCATCCCTTTTTTTCTCACGTTCTGCTCTTGATGGATAGCCAGGATAATCATCCGATCTGCTCTCAGAGTTTCTTCGCCGTCCCGAATCTTGTCTTCGGTATTCGCGGTCCGTCGTGCGATTACCGGACCCTTGTCGTTGTAGACTGGGAGCTGAGGTTCCCCCCAAGGTGCTTTCAGACAGCTCGGACCACACATCAGACCCAATGCTGGAGTCTGTTCCATTGGCGGTCGACTCTGCTGACTGCTTGTTCTGAGGCGTAGGGTTCTCTTGTGCAGATTTGTGTGAACCGTATTCTTCATTTGAGGAAAACTTGTTCCTGGACATTGCAATGACTTGCTCGGGAGATAGTGTTGTAAGCCTCTTCAACAACCAATCCAAAGCTGTCGAGGAGCTTATTGGTGGCATGAAGCGTCCCCTATTCCCTTGAAACAGCGTCATGCAGTCCGTGTATTCCTCTACCTCAGAGTCACTTTCATCAGGATCTCTCGTCAGAGGCACTTCTGGTGGTGGTACTGGTGTGAAAGGTCGGTCAGCGTCGCCAGTCTCTGAGTTGTTGGCATCGACAACGGCGTTTCCAGCACCATCTTTCCTGCAAGGATCGGACGTCTCAGTTGTAGCAGCATCTGCTGCAGGTGACAACTTCACGGACTCTTTCGCTTCGCCTTGGCAGTCGCCCTCGCCTTCATTGGCGTCATCGTCACGCCCACCTCGATCTCCGCTTGCATCACCGGTCTTTCCGCCATCATCTTCTTGGTCTCCACGCTCTCGGTTTTGCCCCGCACACTCGTTGTTTTTCTCCCGCTTACCGAAGACCGGCTCCTGTTCTTCAGCGTTCCTTTTGCTGTCTGGTTCATAACTGTCCGGTGGGCGCATTTGAGCCATGGCGGGTCCGAAAACGAGGGTGAATTGTCTCTGAGCAAGTGCCATCGGCCCTTTCGTATAGTGTTGCACTGTACCGCTACCATAGTTCACCATCCATTCGTCTTTAGCTTCGTAACAAAGCTGTGCGATGAATTGACGGTTGCTGTCGATCAAGCTTTCGGCGACGGGGCGATGAGGGTTGACGTGGGCCTCCTCTCTCGTTGAGTACACACTGCATCATAGTCAGCTTGCAACAGCTTATGGCAGTCTTCTCGATTTACTTTGAGCGAGAGCTGAGTTCTCGTGTAGCGATCTGCATGACGCTCAGAATGAGATTCAAGTTCAGCTTGGAAGCGTTGACTTTGTCCAAGACAGGCTTCAGTGCATCGAGCTTGAACGCAAGAAGGATTCTGTTCCTCTTCTTTAGCAGTTTCTCCTTCACTTCATCAACTATCTCTTGAATTCTTCTGGTCTCCTCATCCAGCTCGTCGAATGCATCTTTACTGTACAAAGCCTCCTGCCCCTCTACGACCCGGTGGATCATGGTCAATATTGAGGAGAGGGACGACATTTCGGTTGCAAGCTCCTGCCTGCTCTTTCGCGCTTTGCGCACTGCGTCTGTTGCTTTGAAAAGCGATGTGCTGAGCTGGGCTACAGCTATTGCCGTTCCGAGTATGGATATTGGATCCATCTGTGATTGTGATCGTCGCGAATGGGTACTGGCGAATTGTTGGACGAGGCGCCTTCTCTCGGAGAGCCAACGAGAGGAGAGAAAAAATAATTCGTCGGGAAAGGCTGAAGGTCCAAGATTCTTAAGCAGCACGGCGCACAGCCTTGTCGGCAATCTTTGTGCACACAGACATGGCGCAGCTCGCAGCTCAGCCCCAGTGGCTGTTACCATCGTCGATCGGGTGCATATGCAGTGCTTACAGTGTACTGTTGACTGAGCCTCACCCCTAGGGCACAATCATGCAAGGCGTCATTACAATTTTGACCCTTGACAAACTGGGCTGAACAATTCTACCACGATCTACCGTAAGGATGAGCAGAAGAGGGAATTTTATGTTATGTTGACACCAATAGCGGCGCCACGGAGCTTTCAATCTTACAGCTGACTTGAATAAGAGTCGTAATTTCGGTAGAGACGGTAAAATCCAGCTGCTGGTATGTTACAGCCCCCACCCTCGTGAGCCCCCAACCCCGCACCAACTTTAGCTGCAAGCCCCTCCCAGCTGCAGGGCTTTGCTCAGCTCTCAAATTGTGCGATACCAACAGTTCTACTCGCCAGCTTTCTCGTATTCCAGGCTGCAATCTGCTGGTGATGCTTTATGTGCATGCATGGGAGGATCAGCAAATTACAGATGGCGTGAACCATGGCATGCGATGCTCTCTCCACGCACCTTACAGGGCTACAGTTTGACCTGTTACAATGACGCTGTAATGTGCGTTTAGTAGCGACGACATGAATAATAGTAAAGTGATACCTGACGGTCTCCGCTCTCCTTTATAGAGCCGCATACGTGTTGAAGTAGCGCGAGGCTAGGCTTTAGCGCCACAAAAGTAATACTCAAGGCGAGGCTGTGCTGCGCCTCGCTGACGCGGGGTCTTGTGGCTACACCGAAAAAATTACTGGCTGCTCGGTCAGTGTGTCCCGGGCGTGCTTATGGTCTTCGAGTTGAGCTGGCTGACGGTCGCGCGGACCGGTCCGAACCGGCTTAGAATTAAGACGTCATGTAGTCTCGCCAATCAAGTCCGAGAGGTGGCGGCGCAGCCATCTTCCCACGCCCGACTCATCGACGCCTAAGACAAGCGCAGGTGGGAATCGCCTATACACCGGCTTTTACGGTGGCGAGGTCGTGTTTAGCCTTGCCTAGATGAACGAGGGCCTCGTTCCGATAATATACGACATGCTAGACGACTTTCTAAGGTGCAGCGAATTGGAATACTATAAGGCTCGGGTTAGAGACGATGTAATATACGGCATGGAGTATAAGAAGATGAACCGCCACACAATCTATACGCTTAATGGTTTCCAATCTACTACCGTTAGCGTCGAGGACTAGAGCGGGTAATAGAAGCTTTAAGAACTAATATACTCCGTCTTTATCGCCGTTAAAAAGTAGAATAGTCCGGCTATAAAATTTTAATTCTAAAATATATATACTATAAAAACTAAGATAGATACTATTAAACTAAATAAATATATTCTCTTTTACTCTAATTTAATATATTTATTTTTAAAGTTTTAAAATTTTAAAATTTTATTAAAGTTTTATTAAAAACTTAAAGATTTTATTATAACGTTAATATTACGAAATATTTATAGAAGAATAAAAGTTAAAGACGCGGCGCTAAGCGAATCCCCGCGCCGAGAATTAATAACTACGCTTATTACTTA